GTTTCACGAGTGCAAAGCTGTTGGAAAAATGATACCCGTTTAGGTCTACCACATGTAAGGCGAGTGAACATAGGCCGTGATACGTCATCAGTCCGACCGTTTGTCCCTCATCAGTTTTCCTTTAAAAAACTACTAGGCAAGAACGAAATGAGGGAAAGTGACTCAATTTGGACTAGAAGGATTTAATTTGTATGACGAGATGGTGTTCAACTGCATCGGGGGTGCAAATGAAGTTTCACTTTTTCACTATTTCTTCAGTAAAGGGATTTAAACCAAATTTGGTCTGTAGCATCTTTAACCAAATTGAGCTCAACTTTGTAAAATCAATGGTAGGATTAAAAAGGTTTAAGACTTCTGGATACTGAGATTCTCTCTGGAATGGTTAGTTGTTGGTTGTAAAGGGGTAAACAGCTAAGGTCATTTAAGAGTGTGCCTTCATGTGTGTTGTGTATGCGTGCAGGTGTGGTTATGTGCTGGAGGCACGGTATGCAGGCATTTTTGTTTTCTTGTGATAGTGCGGATCTGATGCCGTCTTTATAGTGCTACCTCACTGAAATACCATGCTGAAGGCACCCAGTACAGCATTACGCCCGGTCACATTATTCTGACAGCGGGTGAAACGATAGAGTGGATGGATGTTGTGAAAAAGTTCCGGGATGCTATTCATTCCACTGACGTACGGCCATAATGATTTCTATATGACCCACAACTCTGATACGGTGCTTTAATCAGGAAAGGAATTTATAATTAGTATATATTTGGCATATAACTAAGGAGGTTAACGTTTTTGAGACAAAATATAACCTTTTTTTAATTTTAATATACAATGTAACAATACTATATACATCGTCGAATTTGACAGATACAGTTTTTATCAACACACCATATGTAGTGATGGCGTTTACTTACACATGGTATACAAAGTTTGTACATTTAATACCGATATTTTGTCAACAGAATTATAATGTTGGCTGCGATCCGTGTAAACTTGTACTGAACAATTGTTTCCAGTCTAGGTCACAATTTGATGGATATCTGAGGGGAAACATGTAGATATATATTGTATGTACGAAACGTGCAGGTAGATATCTTTAGAATTTAAACTGGATCTCGTCGCAGTTTTACAGAAGCAAAGGTATGTAGCACTACAGCTGTCGGTCTAATATGTACACATGACAAAAATAAGGTTATCGGTAGTATTGACGCTCTACTCAAAACCTTGATGGGCAAGACAAGATCAGGCATAGATATTTCGTTTTTACGTCACATAAAGTCTTCCTTACGATGCAGTGACAGAAAAGGTCATCGATGATAACTCATGTAGTGATCGTTCTTCAAAACACATCAGCGCTACAAACGTATATTTCATGAGAGGAATTTTGGCGTTAAATGTCTTGTAAAAGATTCCATGTGCAAATGGCAAAGTTCACAATGAATGGGTGTAAGATCGCACGTCATCATTAATGGAATTCTAAAATGTGTGACGTCGAAATAGGACCATATTTGACAGAATTGAAATGACAAATTGTAACATATGAGACATATGCGCATATTCACTACATTTCACTATAGAAAAATACATATTATTATAACTATGATTCCATGTGATTCATAAGGAGGCGCGGTAGTCTAGTGGTATGACGCCGGGCTCGTGACCGAAGGGTTGCGAGTTAGAGGCATGGCACGGCAGGGCACGGCACGGCAAGGCACGGCACTGTGTAATATCCTTGAGCAAGATACTTTAATCCGCTTGTTCCAGTCTACTCAGCCGTAGATGAGTATGTGGATGGGCAGTGATAGAATTGTAGAATGCTAGCTGTGAGCGCCGAAATGGCAGCACCGGTTGTTTGCTCCCCGGGGAGTTGAGAACGATATTGGCTGATTGCAAAGGCCCTATAACCACGGATAATAATTTGTGAACAGCTTTGAGACGACTTACGAACTATGTTGTGATAAAGCGGTATATAAGAACCTCGAAGTTTTATTATTTGTTGTTATCATAAAACACCATTTTACTTACAGGTAAACCAAAAAGACCAAAACGTAATACGATGGCCAATTATCCAACCCGGGGGAACTCAAACGGTGAGTAGTACATATGTGTATCATAATGTTTGTTTTATTGAATATCAAATATATTTCATACGTCCGGACATACAAACAGACATCATGATAACTATAAAGGGGACCAACATTGGCACGCTGCCATGTGTAAAGTTGTACAGAACAGTTGTTTCAAGATCTATGTCACAATTTGATGGATATCTGAGGGGTAACACGTATAAATATTCATTGTACATGTATGTCGGTACCATGGTGTTAGATAGCAGTAGAATATGAGAGTGTATTAACTGCAACGAATGGCAAGTTTAAAGAAGCAAAGGTTTGTAAGCACTACCGTTGTCGGTCCAGGTATACACATGACACATACTGTGGAACATACAACTATAATATGGTATTCGACATCCTCGATATCCAGGGGTAACGCTCACTTTCGCTCTCTAAACCCCTGGAATATGTCATAGTAAACATAAAGGCACAAAGATAGCTGTTTGATTGGTCTCATGTAAAAAAACACACCAGACCAATCGCTTGGCCGATACCTGTCCTTTGAAGATTACAAAGGAGAGACGCCCGACTTCAAAGCCTGTCATTTGTTACCGTTATGTGACCGCGAAATTATTTTTTATGTATATCAAAGGATCGAACTAGTCTTCTTGTCTCATCAACAAGGTGGCGCACATCGAGCCTTCAAATTTGCTATGACATTTTCCAGGGGTGAAGAGAGCGAAAGTGAGCGTAATCCCAGGATATCGAGGGTGGGTATTCGTCTGTCTAGTGAATTTACAGACTAATAAAGTGTCGGTAACTGTCGATCTGAACATTTTACTGGCCAAAGAGTTATGGTATTCATTTCACAGATAGCGAGGATACAGCAAAGAGAGCATGTAGTGATCGTTTTTCAAAACACATTGAGATCAGCGCTACAAACGTCTGCTGGAAATACATTTCATGAAAGGAATTTCGGCGTTAAATGTCTTGTAAAAGGTTTAATGTGCAAATGGCAATGTTCGCAATGAATGGGTCTAATAATGCACGTCATCAATGATGGTATTCTAAAATGTGTGACGTCGAAATAGGACCATATATATATTTGACAGTATTAAAATGACAAATTGTAACATATGATACATTTTCGCATAATCACTGCATGTGACTGCAGACAATTTCTTATTCTTATAACTATGATTCTATGTGATTCATAAGGAGGCGCGGTAGTCTAGTGGCAGGACGCCGAGCTCGTGACCGAAGTGTTGCGAATTCGAGGCACGGCACTGTGTTGTATCCATTGAGCAAGATCTGTTACTCCAGGTGTTCCAGTCTACTCAGCCGTAGATGAGCATGCGGTTGGGCATTGATAGAATTGTAGAATGATCGCTGTGAGCGCCGAAATGGCAGCACCGGTTGTATGCTCCCCGGGGAGTTGAGAACGATATTGACAGGTTGCAAAGGCCCTATAACCACGGATACTAATTTGTGAACAGCTTTGAGACGACCTACTAACTATGTTGTGATAAAGTGTTATATAAGAACCTCGAATTATCATTATTAATTATTATTATAAAACACTGTTTTACTTACAGGTCAATCGAAAACAAAAGGAAAAAGGCCTAACAATGAACCGGACCAGGAACAGTCAAGCGGTGAGTAGTACCTTATGTGTATCATAATGTTTGTTTTATTGAATATCAAATACATTTCCTAAGTAAGGAGAGACAAACGGATATCATGGGCACCAACATAGGCACGTTATCATGTGTAAACTTGTACAGAACAGTTGTTTCAAGATCTATGTCACAATTTGATGGATATCTGAAGGGTAACAAGTATAGATTTTCACTGTACATGTCGGTACTATAGATTTAGATATCAGTGGTATACGAGAGCGTATGAACTGCAACGAATGGCAATTTTAAAGAAGCAAAGGTCTGTAAGCACTACAGTTGTCGGTCTAAGTATACACATGACAAATACTGTGGTATACATAACTATAGTTTGGTATTCGACATCATTCATATCCAGGAGTAACGCTTACCTTCGCTCTCTACAACCCTTGAATATGTCATAGTAAAATTGCAGGCACAAAGATAGCTGTTTGATTGGTCTCAGGTAAAAAAAACCTGACCAATCGATAGGCCGATACCTGTCCTTTGAAGATTACAAAGAATAGATGCCCGACTTCAAAGCCTGTCAATTTGTACCGTTGCGTGACCGCGAAATTCTTTGTGTGTACATCAGAGGATGGAACTAGTCTGCTTGTCTCATCAACAAGGTGGCGCAAACTGAGCCTTCAATTTGGCTATGACATTTTCCAGGGGTGAAGAGAGCGAAAGTGAGCGTAACCCCAGGATATCGAGGGTGGGTATTCGTCTGTGTAGTGAATGTACAGACTAATAAAGTGTCGGTAACTGTCGATCTAAACATTTTACTTGCTAAAGAATTATGGTATTCATTTCACAGATATCGTGATATAAAATTCATAAGTCAGTATATCCATCGACACATGAATAAGCTAGTAAGAATATGCAAGGATGTTAAAAAATGAACGAAAGGTCTACAAAATCATAACTCGAACACAAAATCGATACAACTGTGGCAAAATATAAACAAAAGAAAGTTTTGCAACTTTACCATTGAGAACATATAAGGAGAATAAAACCAGGCGTTCCGCAAAGTTAAGCGTCGTCTGCTTCATCGACGACACCCATGTCAAATCCAAGTAATGTCCTCATACCGAGAACTGGGGTTATTGACAACAAAACATCAAACTAATGAGCATAATAAAAAAATCATCGACTGATATATTACACAAAAAATAGCTTATTTCCCAATGAGACTATAACACTTGTCCATAGTCTTCATCAACCACAGGGGCGCGCAACAACTAAAAATATTGATTTTGTTAGACTAAAAGTCGCTGGAGACGAATATTCTAATACTTATCCAGTTTATAGCGACAAAAAGTCTACCAAGATCAATAGTATTAGCAGTTGCCCCTATGCATCAATCTGCATATTTGGAAACCTTTTGTTATAAGTTTGCCCGTCATCATCCGCGATATTCTTGGGTTACGCTCACTTTCGCTCTCTGCACCTCTGGAATATGTGATAGCAAAATTGAAGGGACGCAGCTAGCTATTTGATTGGTGTCAAGTAAAAAAACACCTGACCAATCACTAGTGCAAAGCTGTTGGAAAAATGATACCCTTTTAGGTATACCACCTGTAAAGCGAGTGAACATAGGCCGTGATACGTCATCAGTCCGACCGTTTGTCCCTCATCAGTTTTCCTTTAAAAAACTACTAGTCAAGAACGAATTGAGGAATAGTGACTCAATTTGGACTAACAGGATTTAATTTGTATGACGAGATGGTGTGCAACTGCATCGGGGCTGCAAATGAAGTTTCACTTTTTTATGTCCTATTTCTTCAGTAAAGGGATTAAACTAAATTTGGTCTGGCGCATCTTTGATCAAATTGAGTTTAACTTTGAAAAATCAGTTGGTATTCCCTTAGAGGTTATGTCAAAGGGCCCAATGGTAGGATTTAAAAGATTTAAGATTTCTGGATACTGTGATTTTCCCTGGAGTCGTTAGTTGTTCGTTGTAAAGGGATTAACGTCCCGTAAACAGCTAAGGTCATTTAAGGATGTGCCTTCATGTGTGTTGTGTATGAGTGCATGTGTGTTTATGTGCTGGAGGCACGGTGTGCAGGTGTTTTTGTCTTCTTGTGATAGTGTGGATCTGATGCCGTCTTTATAGTGCTACCTCACTGAAATACCATATTGAAGGCACCTGGCACAGCATTACGTCCGGTCACATTATTCTGACAACGGGTGAAACGATAGAGTGGATGGATGTTGTGAAAAAGTTCCGGGATGCTATTCATTCCACTGACGTATGGCCATAATGATTACTATATGACCCACATCTCTGATACGGTGCTTTAATCAGGAAAGGAATTTGTAATTAGTATATATTTTGTATATAACCAAGGAGGTTAATGTTTTTGTGTCAAAACAGATTGTTTTTAATTTAAATGTATAATGTAGCAATACAAATACATCGACGAATTTGACAGATATAGTTTTTATCAACACATCACATGTAGTGATGGCGTTTTCTTACGCATGGTATAAAAAGTTTATGCGCTTAATACCGATATTTTGTCAACTGGATTCTAATGTTGGCTGCGATCCGTGTAAACTTGTACTGAACAATTGTTTCCAGATCTAGGTCGATGGATATCTGAAGGGAAACACGTAGATAGATATTGTATGTATGCAACGTGCAGGTACATATCTTTAGAATTTAAAATAGTTCTCGTCGCAGTTTTAAAGAAACAAAGGTCTGTAGCACTACAGCTGGTGGTCAAATATGTACACATGACAAAAATAAGGTTATCGGTAGTATTGACGCTCTATTCATAACCTTGATGGGCAAGACAAGGTCAGGAAAAGATGTTTCGTTTCAACGTCACATAAAGTGTTCCTTACGATGCAGTGACAGAAAAGGTCATCGATGGTAATTCGGCGATGATACAGCGAAGAGAGCATGTAGTTATCGTTTTCAAAACACATTGAGATCAGCACTACAAACGTCTGCTGGAAATATATTACATGAGTGGAATTTCGGCGTTAAATGTCTTGTAAAAGTTTTCCTGTGCAAATGGCAATGTTCACAATGAATGGGTCTAAGATCGCACGTCATCAATGAGGATATTCTAAGCATGTGTGACGTCGAAATAGGACCATATTTGACAGAATTGAAATGAAAAATTGTAATTTATGATAAACATTCGCATATTCACTACATCTGACTGCAGAAAATCACATTTTTTTATAACTATGATTCCATGTGATTTATAAGGAGGCGCGGTAGTCTAGTGGTAGGACGCCGGGCTCGTGACCGAAGGGTTCCGAGTTCGAGGCATGGCACGGCCCTGTGTTGTATCCTTGAGCAAGATACTTTACTCCACTTGTTCAAGTCTACTCATGATCAGCCGTAGATGAGTATGTGGTTGGGAAGTGCTAGAATTATAGAATGCTAGCTGTGAGCGCCGCAATGACAGCACCGGTTGTATGCTACACAGGGAATTGAGAACGATATTGGCTGATTGCAAAGGCCCTATAGCCACGGATAATAACTTGTGAACCGCTTTGAGAAGACATTTGAACTATGTTGTGATAAAGCGGTATATAAGAACCTCACATTATTATTATTTATTTTTATTATAAAACACTGTTTTACTTACAGGTCCATCGGAAACCGAAGAAAATGGGACTGACAATGATTCAGACCAGGGACAGTCAAGCGGTGAGTAGTACATATGTGTATCATAAAGTTTGTTTTATTGAATATCAAATACATTTCATAAGTCAGGACAGACAAACGGACATGATGATTACTATAGGGTACCCACATTGGCACGCTGCCATGTGTAAAGATGTACAGACCAATTGTTTCAAGATCTATGTCACAATTTGATGGATATCTGAAGGGTAACAAGTATAGATTTTCACTCTACAAGTATGTCGGTGTCATGGAGTTAGATAGCAGTAGTATATTAGAGCGTATTAACTGCAACGAATGGCAATTTAAAAGAAGCAAAGGTCTGTAAGCACTCCAGTTGTCGGTCCTGGTATGCACATGCCAAATACTGTGGTACAAACAACTATAGTAAGGTATTCGACATCCTCCATATCCTGGGGGTAACGCTCAATTTCGCTCTCTACACCCCTGGAATATGTCATAGTAAAATGAAAGAAACAGAGATAGCTGTTTGATTGGTCTCAGGTAAAAAGAAAATAACCAATCGCTAGGCCGATACCTGTCCTTTGAAGATTACAAAGGAGAGACCCCCGACTTCAAAGCCTGTCAATTTTTACCGCTACGTGACCGCGAAATTATTTTTATGTACATCAAAGGATCGAACTAATCTTCTTGTTCCATCAACACGGTGGCGTACACTCATCCTTCAATTTTGCTATGACATATTCCAGGGGTGTAGAGAGCGAAAGTGAGCGTAACCCAAGGATATCGAGGGTGGGTATTCGTCTGTCTAGTGAATGTACAGACCAATACAGTGTTGGTAACTGTCGATCTGAACATATTACTGGCCAAAGAATTATGGTATTCATTTCACAGATATTGTGATATGATAGTCATAAGTCAGAATATCCATCGACACATAAATAGCTAGTTAGTATGAGCCAGGATGTTAAAATAAGAACAAAACGTCTACAAGGTCATAATTAGAACACAAAAAAGATAAAACTATTGTAAAATATAAACAAAGGAAAGTTTTGTATCTTTACCTTTGAGAACGTTTAAGGAGAATAAAACCAGACGTTCCGTAAAGTTGAGCGTCGTCTGCTTCATCGACGACACCAATGTCAAATCCAAGTAATGTCATGTCCTCAAACCGAGAACTGGGGTTATTGATAACAAAACATCAAACTAATGAGCATAATAATTAAGAGGCCAATGGGCCTTAACGGTAACCTGATATATTTATACAGAGAGTTTATTTTGTTTTTTACATGAACAGAAATATTATTCAGAGACAAAAAACAATAAAACCACCTGATTCAGTATCTAGCATACAGATTTAAGAATAAATTGTATTTGAAAATAGCACCTCTGATTCTAAACAAGGAAAATGAACAAATTTTAGCACACTGACTCATTTGGGCCCCACCCTACAGCCCTTGGGGGAAGGGCTGGCTTAAAATTTTCAAACTGTCAGCTCATAGTTATAATTCCAATCAAATTATTAACATGTAATATTCAAAGTATCATTTGCCATTATAAACCATAATACATTTTGACCCCCCCCCCCCTCCTTCCCCAGTGGGTAAACGTGAAACCCTAGGGTAATAAACCTTAAGACCCTTCCATCTATGAAGAGTGTTTGATTCTACCATATCTGGGTCTTTGAGAGGATTTTTTTTTGAAATTTCAGTCAATTCAACCCTTTTTGGCTCCACACATCAGCCCCGGGGGTCAGTCAGGGCTCATATGTGCATACCATCAAACTGCTAACCAGTACTGATAATAACCCAAATTGAATTATTTCCAATGGAAATTAAACAAATGCTAGTCCAAAATGTGATTTCCCTATATATATTATAGCAAAGATTACCCCTCCCTAGGGGTAAACGTGAGACCCCAGGATCATGAATTTCACAATTTTGGTAGAGCACCTTAAGACCCTTCCATCAATGAAGAGTATTTGATTCTACCATATCTGGGTCTTGAGAAGAAGATTTTTGAAATTTCAGTCAATTTGACCCTTTTTGGCCACCCCCATCAGCCCCGGGGGGTCAGTCAGGGCTCATATGTACATACCATCAAACTGCTACCCAATACTGATAATGCTAACCTAAATTGAATTACCTCCAATGGCAATTAAACAAATGTTCGTTCAAAATGTGATTTCCCTATATATACTATAGTAAAGTTTTCCCCCTCCCCAGGGGTAAACATGAGACCCCAGGGTCAAGAAATTCACAATTTTGGTAAAGCACCTTAAGACCCTTCCATCTATGAAGAGTATCTGATTCTACCATATCTGGGTCTTGAGAAGTAGATTTTTGAAATTTCAGTCAATTTGACCCTTTTTGGCCCCGCCCCTCAGGCCCCTGGGGCCGGGGACCAAACCGGCAGCAATTTTTGTTGACCTTTGGCCATGGAAGGTTTCTGCAAAATTTCATTGAAATTGGTTCAGGGGTTTTGGAGAAGAAGTCGAAAATATGAAATGTTTACGCACGCACGACGGACGACGGACGACGACGGACAAAAGGCGATCGCAATAGGTCACTTGAGACTTTGTCTCAGGTGACATAAACACTCATCGACTGACATATTACACAAAAATAGCATATTTTCCAATGAGACTATAACACTTGTCCATAGTATTCATCAACACAGGGGCACGAAACAACTAATAATACTGATCTTGTTAGACTTTCAGTCGCTGGATACGCATATAATTTTGATCTTGTTAGACTTAAAGTCGCTGGAGACGAATATTCTAATACTTATCCAGTTTATAGCGACTAAAAACTTCTGGATACTGAGATTCTCTCTGGGGTGGTTAGTTGTTGGTTGTAAAGGGGTAAACGTCCCGTAAACAGCTATGGTCATTTAAGGATATGCCTTCATGTGTGTTGTGTATGAGTGCATGTGTGTATATGTGCTGGAGGCACGGTATGCAGGTGTTTTTGTCTTCTTGTGATAGTGCAGATCTGATGCCATCTTTATAGTGCTACCTCACTGAAATACCATGCCGAAAGAACCCGGCACAGCATTACGTCCGGTCACATTATTCTGACAACGGGTGAAACGATAGAGTGGATGGATGTTGTGAAAAACTTCCGGGATGCTATTCATTCCACTGACGTACGGCCATAATGATTACTATATGATCCACATCTCTGATACGGTGCTCTAATCAGGAAAGGAATTTATTATTAGTATATATTTTGTATATAACCAAAAAGGTTAAAGTTTTTGAGTCAAAACATATTGTTTTTATTTTATATACAATGTAACAATACTATATACATCGTCGAATTTGACAGATACAGTTTTTATCAACACATCATATGTAGTGATGGCGTTTACTTACACATGGTATACAAAGTTTATACACTTAATACCGAGATTTTAACAACTGGATTCTAATGTTGGCTGCAATCCGTGTAAACTTGTACTGAACAATTGTTTCAAGATCTAGGTCACAATTTGATGGATATCTGAAGTGAAACATGTAGATACATATTGTTTGTATGTAACGTGCAGGTAAATATCTTTAGAATTTAAATTGGGTCTCGTCGCAGTTTTTAAGAAGCAAAGGTCTGTAGCATGACAGCTGTCGGTCTAATATGTCCACATGACAAAAATAAGGTTATCGGGAGGATTGGCGCTTTACTTATCATCTTGATGGGCAAGACAAGATCAGGCATAGATATTTCGTTTTTACGTCACATAAAGTGTTCCTCACGATGCAGTGACAGAAAAGGTCATCGATGGTAAATCAGCGAGGATACAGCGAAGAGAGCATGTAGTTATCGTTCTTCAAAACACATCGAGATCAGCGCTACACACGTCTGCTGGAATTATATTACATGAGTGGAGTTTTCGTGTTAACTGTCTTGTAAAAGTTTTCATGTGCAAATGGCAATGTTCGCAATGATTGGGTGTAAGAATGTACGTGATCAATTATGATATTCTAAACATGTGTGACGTCGCAATAGGACCATATTTCTGTAGAAAACTACATGTTCTTATAACTATGATTCCATGTGATTCATAAGGAGACGCGGTATTCTAGTGGTAGGATGCCGGGCTTGTGACCGTTGGATTGCGAGTTCCAGGCACGGCACTGTGTTGTAGCCTTGAGCAAGATACTTTACTCCGCTTTTTCCATTCTATTCATGATCAGCCGTAGATGAGTCTGTGGTTGGGCAGTGCTAGAATTGTAGAATGCTAGCTGTGAGCGCCGCAATGGCAGCACCGGTTGTATGCTACACAGGGATTTGATAACGATATTGGCTGGTTGCAAAGGCCCTATAACCACGGATAATAATTTGTGAACAGCTTTGAAACGACCTTCGAAATATTTTGTGATAAAGCGGTATATAAGAACCTCGAATTATTAACATCTATTTTTTATTATAAAACACTGTTTTAATTACAGCAAAGCGAAGGAAATAGGACTGACAATGATCCAGACCAGGGACAGTCAAGCGGTGAGTAGTACATATGTGTATCATAAGGATTGTTTTATTTAATATCAAATACTTTTCATACGTCAGACAGACAAACGGACATCATGATTACTATATAGGGAACCCACATTGGCACGCTGCCATGTGTAAAGTTGTACAGAACAGTTGTTTCAAGATCTATGTCACAATTTGATGGATATCTGAAAGGTAAAAAGTATGGATATTCATTGTACATGTATGTTGGTACCATGGAGTTAGATAGCAGTAGAATATGAGAGCGTATTAACTGCAACGAATGGCAAGTTTAAAGAAGCAATGGTCTGTAAGCACTACAGTTGTCGGTCCAGGTATACATATATGACACATACTGTGGTACATACAACTATAGTATGGTATTCGACATCCTCGATATCTAGGGGTAACGCTCAATTTCGCTCTCTACACCCCTGGAATATGTCATAGTAAAATTAAAAGCACAAAAATAGCTGTTTCATTGGTCTCGGGTAAAACAAACCTGACCGATCGCTAGGCCGATACCTGTCCTTTGAAGATTACAAAGGAGAGACGCCCGACTTCAAAGCCTGTCAATTTTACCGTTACGTGACCGCGAAATCCTTTTTGTACATGAAAGGATCGAACTAGTCTTATTGTCTCATCAACAAGGTTGCGCACATTGAGCCTTCACTTTTGCTATGACATATTCCAGGGGTGTAGAGAGCGAAAGTGAGCGTAACTCCTGTATATCGAGGATGATGACGGGAAAACTTACAACAAAGGTTTCCAAAGATGCAGATTGATGCACAGGGGCAACTGCTAATACTATTGATCTTGTTATTGATAAAGTGCTGCACATTGAGCCTTTGATTTTTACTACGACATATTCCAGGGGTGTAGAGACCGAAAGTGAGCGTTACCCCTGGATATCGAGAATGACCCGTCATCAGTCACAGAAGTCATCCTCGTCTTCCACAAATTCTATGTCAATTATACAATATCTATCATCGTTCTGAATTGTTATTACAGGCCAGCGAGTCAAACGAATGAAGACCAGTAAGAGTGACGCACAGTGATCTTCCAGTAGTTACATGTATGTGTACAGTACGTGTATATGTACTGCACGTGTGACTTAGGTGTAAATGATAAAAACGAAGGTCATTCATGACACATAAAAAGATACAGGTGGGAAAACAAATACTGGAGTAACCAGTGATTATAGAAATGTGCATTATTTGGGATAACAGCCACTTCGGCCAAAAAAAATATATGTTTGTTTTCGGTTATCCTGCCTATCCTACATTTTGTGTGTCAACCCTAAAAAGTATTTCGACAAATTTCAAAAAAGCACTGTTAAATTCAAGATAAATATCCCTAAAAAACTTTATAATTAAATGAAAAATAACATATATTACCTACACTAATGTACCTACCCTAAATTTTTCAGACATGTAACATGAATCAAACATGTTTTACGTTTGGCCTTACCAAGACATTGTACAGTCTAAATGATATATTGAATAAAGAAAAAACCAAGGATAATGTGTGCATATAAACTATACAATTGTGTATAATTATAGAAATCTGAATTATCTGTAATTATAGTTTCTCACCAAAACCAGACATTATACAGTCTCCATTTAATCATACTGAGCAAAGAAAATCGAGGATGAGGCGTACATATAAAACATATGACTGATTATATTTATTTAATCATATACTATCATTGTTACTTTGGAATCGTGTTTTATCAACCCCTATATGAGCTTATCATGTCACCACAACTGTACTATGTGGATATATCTAATAAACAAACAGTGTATTATCTATGTTTTGTTATATCTATATGGTGTTGGTTCTGATGTTTGATGTTTAGGTTGAATTGTTATCTGGCATGGCTATGTTAAGCTTTATTATATACCTACTAATAAATACGGGTTTTTGTATATGCGATACGACACAGTGGATCTAACTAATATCAGCCATCGCCGTAAAATAACCCAAAACCCGTATCAGCCCTCTTCGTATCAGCCCACAAAACCCGTTTCACATCCCTTCTGGAAACTGTTTTCGTTTTTCAATATATCAAAAGAAGAAAAGATCGTAAGATAGTAGATATATCCGTATTTTATTAGTAAGTTTGTAATAAAAACAATAAAACATGCCTTTTTCCATATCACACCCAGTATCAACCCTCGATTAATATCAGCCCTCGGGCTTATATTGGAGTCTCGGGTTGATTCTTAGTGTGATATATGAAAAAAACATGTATTATTCTCTATTTATCAAATCATTTCTGAAAAGAAAGCAACACCTTGTGGGACATTTCACAGACACTCTCGTAGCTGGTGAATTTATTATTATTTTTCAAACAAAAATGGCTTTAACTTGAAAAAGATGCAACAGACGATTTTTCAGTTGAATGAACTGAGATTAATAAGCAATGTAACACATCAAAACACCAAAATCAATTTTTAGCATTACAACACAAAGGAGAAAAAAGTTATTTAAATGATAACACAAAAGAAAGGTTAAATATGGATAACATATTGGTACAATTCTGTTCATCCTCGATACTCCAGAGTTTCGCTAACTTTCGCTCTCTGCTCCCCTGGAATATGTCATAACAGAATTGAAGACATGCATCAAGCAGAAAAAAACCTAACTAATCGCTAGGCTGATACCTGTCCTTTGAAAAGAGGAGCGACACCAAACTTCAAAGCCAGTCAATTTACCGTTACGCGTCATTAAGATTTCTTTGATGTACCAAACTAGTCTTCTTGTCTCGTCCACAACGGTGGCGCACACTGATAATTCGATTTTGCTATGACATATTCCAGGGATGCCGAGAGTGGGACCATAAACCCTGGAGTATCGCGGATGACTTCCATTAAAATACCTTAACACCATATAGACCGTATAAAGTCTTGCTACAGAATGCTACAGAAGGGATAAACTCTACCCTGAACAAACGTGCCAGGAACAATCGGGTATCTTGCACACAAACTTCTTCCGCCTTAAAAGCTTCCGAGACATTTCTCGAACACTGTTGAACGGAAATTAATGAAACTTCACATGTTCATCATGGTCAGGGTGTGTGCAAATTACCTTTTATTTTCAGATTGGTCAACACAAATGGCCGCTACACGCTAGGAAAGTATGACATGTAAATGTGAACATGCATAGAAAGTCCACAGGCACAAATTACAAAAGCCCGTTGAAAAACAAAACACCAATCTTTAGACCACAAACAGGTTTTTATCTAAATCCTACTATTCCGAATTGAATCATGGTTATTCCATGACTTTTGTTTTATGAAGATACGGAAAAATGTATCCTTCAGATCTAATGACGTTATTCTTTCCCTCGTGAAAGTCGTCATGCCACTTGGGGTCTCCAGAGACGAAAATCGACGTGCCTGCTGCTTATCATGAAAGCACCAAAATCAGCAATCTTGGAACCACCTCGACCGCATCTTATAGGAGCAGTCTATTGAAGTCGCTAAAGAGGAAGAGTTTGCGTTGCAGATAGCCCGAGTTTCCTCTGGCCCTAACACCAGACTTAGACATTTTGACAGATGGACATATGTCAAATTGTCTAAGTCTGGTGTTAGGGCCAGAGCAAACTAGGGCCCACACGAGATATCTATATGTCAAAATGTCTAAGTCTGGTATTAAGGCCAGAAGAAACTCGGGCCCACACGATACCCATATGTCAAAATGTCTAAGTCTGGTATTAGGGCCAGAGGAAACTCGGGCCCGCACCAGATATCTATATGTCAAAATATTTAAATCTGGTATTAGGGCCAGAGGAAACTCGGGCCCACACCAGATATCTATATGTCAAAATGTCTAAGTCTGGAATTAAGGCCAGAAGAAACTCGGGCCCACACGATACACATATGTCAAAATGTCTAAGTCTGGTATTAAGGCCAGAAGAAACTCGGGCCCACACGATACCCATATGTCAAAATGTCTAAGTCTGGTATTAAGGCCAGAAGAAACTCGGGCCCACACGATACCCATATGTCAAAATGGCTAAGTCTGGGATTAGGGCCAGAGGAAACTCGGGCCCACACCAGATATCTATATGTCAAAATATTTAAATCTGGTATTAGGGCCAGAGGAAACTCGGGCCCACACCAGATATCTATATGTCAAAATATTTAAGTCTGGTATTAGAAAATTTGGGTGGTCAGTTAGATTGGGATCCTGCATCTCAGAGAGGACGTAGAAGCTGCAGTCTGCATGACTAGGGGGAACAGGAAGGCCGACAATACTCACACAGACCTGTCCGATCGTAACAAGTTACAAAATTGATACAAGAATTACCTCCCTTTCAGTCTGGTAATATATTTAAAGTGTAACCCAGAGCACTTGCTCTTGCTAAAATAGACAAGTATTGTGAACAATTAGATTTAATACAATTCCAATTTAAAGAAATATTCAATTACCTTCATCCGGTCGTCAATCAAATTAAATTTAGTTTTCCTCTGACTGCCTGTAGCATTAGAGTGCTAGAAATTGATTTGTTTTACCGACATGACAACAATGTTGATATATCATATCTGAAAAGAAACCGATACCTTGAGGAACGTTATGAAAAATAATAAAGATGAAATAAGTGACCATTAATAATCAACACGGTGGGTCAAGAGCAAAAATACTATGAAGCTAGACTCGGAATCGAACCCTGGACCTCAGATCATTATAGAGATGCTCCAAACAAGTGAGCTACCTTGTCAGCGGAATTTCCCTAACCCAGTTTTACAACAGTTACATCCAAAGCAAAACTAAAGGGTGATTACTAAAGTGGATCTCTCTTAAGTTTTGTCTGACAGTGGAACTCTCTACTGTTTTATCTGACAGTGGAACTCTCTAATGTTTTGTGTGACAGAGGAACTCTTTACCGTTTTGTCTGACAGTGGAACTCTCTAATGTTTTGTGTGACAGCGGAACTCTCCACTGGTTTGTCTGAAAGTGGAACTCTCTAGAATCTATTGTTTTGTCTGACAGGTGAACTCTCTACTGTTTTGTCTGACTGTGGAACTCTACTGTTTTGTCTGGTAGTGGCACTCTCTTCTCTAACATTTTGTCTGACTGCAGAACTCTCTATTGTTTTGTCCGACAGTGGAACTCTTTAATGTTTTTTTTCTGACAGGTGAACTCTCTACTGTTTTGTCTGACAGTGGAACTCTCTACTGTTTTGTCTGACTGTGGAACTCTACTGTTTTGTCTGGTAGTGGCACTCTCTTCTCTAACATTTTGTCTGACTGCGGAACTCTCTATTGTTTTGTCCGACAGTGGAACTCTTTAATGTTTTTTCTGACAGTGGAACTCTCTAATGTTTCGTCTGACAATGGAACCCTCTACTGTTTTGCCTGACAGTGGAACTCTCTAAAGTTTTGTCTTCATGGAACAGGGATTCTTAAAAGCACATACTTGGTGTATATTTTGCCAGGAAAACAAATTTTATTTTTCAACGAATTTCATAACAAAAATATTTCTTTAAAACAATAGAATAACAGACCTAGAAATGCCAATGAAAAACATACATACAGAGTGGTACTGAACCAAACTTAAAAATACTCCAGAATTTAAGTGCAAAAAATATAACAATTATACATACTTAAGATTAATTATGATCTCAATATGTACCACACCTCCTCCTAAAGGCAGTAGCTTATAGGGCCCTGTTGTTAAAGTCTGGTTAGTTTTTCAACAAATTAATGGAAAATTGAAATATAGATATTTTCAATAATATTGAAATTTAAAACAAAAGTTAAATATACAGTGGACTCTGAACTGTTGACCAAGTAAAAAATCATAACTTATCCAATCAAATCTTAAGGAGACATAAAACTCCTTGCAGAATATTGTCTGGCTCCTACATTTCTTCAGTCTCGTTAAGGAAAGTGGATATGGATTTTCCTCTCTGACACTGAAGAAAGTTACCAGTAGATTTAAAAGATTTTACGAAGAGTATTACTCTATAGATTTTGTTAAAAAGGTGTTTCCATTTAGAAACTGTTCAAATTTGAACTGAAAACAGTCACGTTTAAATTAAGTACAAGAAACGGTTATTGTAAATTGATGTCTGATAATAACCATCACACAGTAAATTATCAATTCCTAAATGGACAAAAAAACTTGATGAATTAATGCAAAACTAACATTTAATTTCATAAAAGTGTCTGTCAATCTTGATCTGGGTATTTGGGACTGTGATAAAATGTTGGAATTTCTCTCTTGATCTATCTACCCATTAAGCCCTCTCAGACTGGCCCTGTCCTTGAAACTGCCTGTACTGTAATTAAGGAATTGTTCTCTTTACATGACCAATTAGTGTTTCATTGTGACGTTTGGATGACTAGTATGGTATGTACTCTGTCACCTTCATCAGCCAAATGACCAGTGAAGGGTATGCACACAAAGATGTAAAATGTGTACGAGTTGTCCACAAATTGATGTTGATTCAGATAAGTTGTAAGCCTATGTACAATAGTTGTTATATATGTACTGAAATGACTCGATTCATCTACGCTTTGTTTAATACTTGGTCATAGAAGTGCAAAGTACATATATAACAACTATTGTACATAACATATTATGTCCTGTCATTCGACGGGGGTATACAAATTATCATGACCCTGCTCCTTTTCATGTCCAAATCAGGAATCAAATCCCTATTGTCTTGGTGATAAGTGAGTGTGCCACTCGACCTCCCAAATATAAACATTAACAGAATGTAAAGAAATTAACTATATACATAAATATCAAACTTTAACTGGACTAGATGTACAAGTTATAATACTGAGTACAAGTATTTGCATTGATAATGCCCATCTCTACATCAAAAAATATGGTGGTTTTTTTTAAGGAAACAAAAATATATATGATAGTGAGGTCCTACTTGATTTTAATAATTTTTCTGCCTCTGGAAAATTTCATAAAAAGGCTGTCATTGTCAATAACATTACGTTTCAAGTGTAAATTTCATAGACTAGAACAAATTTAACACATCTTATAATCATCAAAGGTTTTGCATAAAAATTTAAATCATAAACACCATCAAGACTTTTCTTTCTAATTAAAGAAATTTTCCATAAAAAGTGAAAAAATATTTACATTTCATTGAAAAATTGCAGCCAAAACTCGGCTCTAAAAAACACACCAACAAATCCCATTTATTTATTATTACTACTATATTACAACAAGTTGTATCATTCGTGGGATTTCATGTGTTTTGTTAGGCATACTTTACTTGTGTATTTTCTATCACAGTGCTCACACGCATGCTCGACCTTATTGTGTGTTTTCAGGTGTCGGCTGAGGTGAGAGGCATGGATAAATGCTTTTGTACACAGCCCACACTTATACGGGACATCTCCAGTATGTATCATAAAGTGTCTGTTCAGGCAACTTTTATCCGAGAATCCCTTACTGCAGACTTCACACTTGAACGGTTTCTCTCCCGAGTGTATGATCATGTGTCTCTGTAGAGTCCCCATCCTACCGTAACTTTTACGGCAGACGTCACATTTGAACGGTTTCTCGCCCGTGTGGACGACTCGATGTCGCAACAGGCCACTCAAGTCGCTAAACATCCCGTCACAGATGTCGCATCTTTGTGTCTTTTGTCCAGAATGTATATTGGCATGTGTGTTTAGATGACTCTGCCGCTTGAATGATTTACCACAGTCCGAACACTGAAAAGGTGTGTTACTAGAATGGACCTGGAGGTGCTGGTTTAGTCCGTCTGGCATCGTAAATGTTTTATCACAGAATACACACGAGTACATCCTCACATCTGAATGTACACTCTGGTGGTTTTGAAGGTAAAGTTTGCTATGAAAGTCCTTGAGACAGATATCACATGTAAAGCGCTTTCTTCTCGTGTTTTTAGTTTTCTTTTCCAGTTTTCTTTTGAACTCCCATGTTTTGTTTTGATAATTTGAACTCTTTCCTTTCTGAACGTTTTCATCGCCATGTGTTTTCACGTGTGAAATTAAATCTCTCTTTTCAGTGAACGACTTGTCACAGATAGCACATGTAAAAGTTTGCTCTGGACTAGTGTGTTTATGCATATGATTCTGTAGTAAATATTTCCGGTCAAAGTCTTTCCCACAAACAGTACAGGTGTGTTTGTCTGACGTTGTATTAGGGACTTTGCTGTGGTGTAATCGTTTGTGTCGCTTAAGATTTATGCTTTTAGAAAACCACTTCCCACATACTTCACATATGTTGTGTTTCTTTGCAGGGATGTTTGGAACCAGGGCAACATTTGCTGAAAAATGAGAAAGAGACATATATTACTAAAGTTACACATTGTGATTATGGCAAAGTAGTCCTCCATCATCAGTCATCTTTCAGTATAAACAAAACAAAGGGCCTTAACTCATTTACCCCTCATGACACATTTGAACTTGTCTAATTCAATGCCTGGAATAGTTCATTATGAAATTCCAGGGGTGTACCAGTTTACCCTGTATATATTGGGGCACAAAACCCTATTTTAATACCAGAGGTACTTTCTAAAATATAATTTTGGCAGCTGTGAGTGACAGAGTATGGGAGATATTCTCCTGATAACGTGAGGAAGTATAGGGAAGGAAACAGTCTTCTTACATTTCCAGCACACATGCAGGTATACACACATAAGGAGATATTAGCCAGGTGGCATAGGACTAGGAGTTAGCGCCTAATAAGGCAGCTCCTGCGAATTCCCCAAATTTGTATTAATTCATGCATATATACTAATTGTATTAATTGCATATTTGTGTACTGTAAAGCGCTTTAGAGTGGCTTATGTTAGCTAGATGGGGCGCTATGTCAAATGTTGTATATTATAATTTTTATTCTGTTGTACTGGTGGGTAAACCACTAATCTCCTCTGCATTCAGTATGGTACTTACCAAAGATGAAAGTCTATGATGGGAAAAATGAAATGGAAATGCACAAATCCTCAACTGCCACATTTAACAGTTCTGGATTTTAAGCAATGGTTCGTCTATCAGCAACATTATTATCTCACTGAACCATGACAGAGTCTTTTGTACCTGTACGGTCAGTTGTCCATCATAGCCAAAGGGTACAGGTGTTACATTTAAAGAACTACAAGGTCGTTTGGAATTAGGAAAATAAAGTTTGAATACTTCAAAATAAATCAGGAAGGTTAATGAGAAGGTTAACTCATTCACCCCTGAAGACACATTTGAACTCTTCCAATTCAATGTTTGGAATAGGTCATAATGAAGTTTCAGGGGTGAATGGGTTAAATCAATAAAAGAATGTTAGCACATATTTTGAAAACTTAAAATCATATCTGAACTTACAACCTTGTAGTCAGTAGCCCAATGCACTATCAACTGTACCTAGCACGTCCCTGATCTAGTTCTCAGAAGAGTTTGAACTACAATGTATATGGCCTGAATTGTCAGGGATACACATGCAGTGTTTCAGGAAACCCCCAAATGAGGTTTTTTTACTCCTAAAACCGTTCGTTGAAACCCCAGTTTTCAAGAAAAGCCTTATGTAAATAAGTACGTACCTACAGGGGTTCAGAATCTTTTGAATATATCAAATAAACCCTCTGATCTTAAATTCAGTGGTAAAACTGGTAACAGATTGAGGTAAATGTTTGATATGTTGCTCAAGGACAGGGTCTAAACCTCTGCAGGAAAACTTACTTTAAACTATAACTGTGATGTTCTATTTCACCTCATAATTATAACCAGTATAAGGTAGGACTGAAACAATATATTGCGATATTTTGAATACGTTACGATGCACAATTTTTCTTGGGAGGTTACAATACACCTTTCAATAATTTCCAGATTTCGGTATTTCTGAATAAGGTCTCCTCATATCGGTTCCAACATGGTGATTGACAGTTCCAGCTCCTCATGCACGTCGGCAGAAGTGAATTGTGTGAAACTTTAAAGTCATGCCCATTTTGGACCAAGTCTATTTCCAGTTGTCATAATGCCATTAGAAATTTGCAACATATATTTTCTCTCTGCTTCTATACTGCTACTATATGTATCATGATACATATCGTGTTGTGACCACAGTTTCATGATACATATATCATATCATCATGTTAGTGCATCGTTTTAGCCCTAGTATAAGGTAAATTATAGCATAAAATGATATACAAGACCTACCATTCTCAGGAAGTATGAGAGTCACACATCTGACTGAAGGCTCGGCTACAGCAGTCTCTCTATGTGAACTGTTGTCTGTCTCAATCTTTACTGCAGATTCAGTATCAATAGAATTGCTGTGGCTTCCGTCCCCTGGTTCTTTATCAGCTACAGAGGTCTCTCCACTGTTGTCAGGCTCAATTTTGATAGAGGACTCATATACGATCGCTTCAGTGTGGCTTACCTCCCCTGGTGCTATTTCAGCTACACAAGTTTCTCTGTTTATACTGTCATCTGTCTCAATCTTTACAAAAGATTCAGCATTCTGCACCTTGTTATTCTCTGCTTCAATCTTGGTCTGTTTATATGTTCTCTTCATCCTACCCGTTTACCACTGAAACAGTCAAATATAAAATTTTATTTCCATATTACCGAAAAAAGTGAATTAAAGATCATGAACCACAGGCACTAATGCCATTAAATTAGTGTAATGAGTGAGTGGGCTCCTGTTCATGTCTAGCCAATGATGATAATTGATGTTTCTTAACTAATGAGTAATTAAGTCAGACCCTATCCCCCCCCCATCACTGAAAAACAAGCTTGTATCAGTACTAGTAAGACAGTATGGTGCCTATACATATTCCTTGGCTGTTACACTAGTACTGTTCCCCATTCAGATAAGTCTCGTCCCATCGGTCCTTCCAATAGGAAACTGTCTGCACTACGGAATTAAGGTTACCGACGGTTCCTGATTGGGAGTCCTCCATGTGAACAAATTAATGAACCTTCCATATAATCACCTTCCCTATAACCAACTTCCCTATAACCACCTTCCCTATAATCACCTTCCCTATAACCACCTTCCCTATAACCACCTTCGCTCTAACCACCTTCCCTATAACTACCTTCCTTCTAACCACCTTCCCTCTAACCACCTTCCCTATACTCACCTTCCCTATAACCACCTTCCCTATAACCACCTTTCCTATAACCACCTTTCCTATAATCACCTTCCCTATAACCACCTTCCATATAACCACCTTCCCTATAACCACCTTCCCTATAATCACCTTCCCTAAAATCACCTTCCCTATAACCACCTTCCCTATAATCACCTTCCCTATAACCACCTTCCCTATAATCACCTTTCCTATAATCACCTTTCCTATAGTCACCTCCCTATAACCACCTTCCCTCTAACCACCTTCCCTATAATCACCTTCCCTATGACCACCTTCCCTATAACCACCTTCCCTATAACCACCTTTCCTATAATCACCTTCCCTATAACCACCTTCCATATAACCACCTTCCCTATAACCACCTTCCCTATAATCCCCTTCCCTATGACCACCTTTCCTATAACCATCTTCCCTATAACCCCCTTCCCTATAACCCCCTTCCCTATAATCACCTTTCCTATAGCCCCCTCCCTCTAACCACCTTCCCTATAATCACCTTCCCTATCACCACCTTTCCTTTAACCATCTTCCCTATAACCACCTTCCCTATAACCACCTTTCCGATAACCACCTTCCCTATAATCACCTTTCCTATAGCCACCTCCCTATAACCACCTTCCCTATAATCACCTTCCCTATGACCACCTTCCCTATAACCACCTTCCCTATAACCACCTTCCTTATAACCACCTGTACTGGCTTTACCATGTACCTCATGTATTATTTATTTGACTGAAGTTTTTTTTTTCTCTTAATGTTTAAAAGAAGTTTATGTGTTTTTAATTTTACTTTATTCCCCAATTCAGTAATAACTTTTTTCTCTGTAAACAGTAATTGTTACTCAAATGAAGGATAATTACCCGTTATTGATATCAGCACATGCACTATTAATATAGGCCCGTCTGTCACTATAAATATAGGCCAGTCTGTCACTATAAATATAGGCCCGTCTGTCACTATACACTTTAACCTAGCTTATAATATTCAGACCAGAACTCAAACAGAAGACCTCCTATCTCTAGACTTAGACACTCAAATAGAGGACCTCCTATCTCTAGACTTAGACACTCAAACAGAGGACCTCCAATCTCTAGAGTTAGACACTCGAACAGAGGACCTCTGATCTCTAAACTTAGACTCTCGAACAGAGGACCTACGATCTCTAGACTTAGACACTCACACAGAGGACCTTCGATCGCGAGACTTAGACACTCAAACAGAGGACCGCCGATCTCTAGAGTTAGACACTCGAACAGAGGACCTCTGATCTTTAGACTTAGACACTCGAACAGAGAAGCTTCGATCTATAGACTTAGACACTCAAACAGAGGACCGCCGATCTCTAGACTTAGACACTCGAACAGAGAAGCTTCGATCTATAGACTTAGACACTCAAACAGAGGACTTCCGATCTCTAGACTTAGACACTCACACAGAGGACCTTCGATCGCGAGACTTAGACACTCAAACAGAGGACTTCCGATCTCTAGACTTAGACACTCGAACAAAGGAACTCCAATTTCTAGACTTAGACACTCGAACAGAGAAGCTTCGATCTATAGACTTAGACACTCAAACAGAGGACCGCCGATCTCTAGAGTTAGACACTCGAACAGAGGACCTGCGATCTATACACTCGATCCAACTGAGCTTCAGAAATGTACCTGGTTGTCAGTGATGAACTGTCATTCAAGTTCTGATTCACTACATTCTTTTCCTCCCTCCTGTTTCGACTCTCGAACAGAGGACCTCCGATTTCTAGACTTAGACACTCGAACAGATGACCTCCGATCTATACACTCGATCCAACTGAGCTACAGAAATTACACTTAGACACTCGAACAGAGGACATCTGATCTCTAGACTTAGACACTCACACAGAGGACCTTCGATCGCGAGACTTAGACACTCAAACAGAGGACATCTGATCTCTAGACTTAGACACTCGAACAAAGGAACTCCAATTTCTAGACTTAGACACTCGAACAGAGAACCTCCGATCTTTAGACTTAGACTCTCGAACAGAGGACCTCTGATCTTTAGACTTAGACACTCAAACAGAGGCCCTCCGATCTCTAGACTTAGACATTCAAACAGAGGACCTCCGATCTCTAGGCTTAGACACTCGAACAGAGGACCTCTGATCTCTAAACTTAGACTCTCGAACAGAGGACCTACGATCTCTAGACTTAGACACTCACACAGAGGACCTTCGATCGCGAGACTTAGACACTCAAACAGAGGACCGCCGATCTCTAGAGTTAGACACTCGAACAGAGGACCTCTGCTCTCTAGACTTAGACACTCAAACAAAGGACCTCCGATCTCTAGACTTATACACTCGAACAGAGGACCTCCGATCTATACACTCGATCCAACTGAGCTACAGAAATTACACTTAGACACTCGAACAGAGGACGTCCGATCTTTAGACTTAGACTCGCGAACAGAGGACCTCCGATCTCTAGGCTTAGACACTCGAACAGAGGACCTATGATCTCTAGACTTAGACACTCACACAGAGGACCTTCGATCGCGAGACTTAGACACTCAAACAGAGGACTTCCTATCTCTAGACTTAGACACTCAAATAGAGGCCCTCCTACCTCTAGACTTAGACACTCAAACAAAGGACCTCCGATCTCTAGACTTATACACTCGAACAGAGGACCTCCGATCTTGAGACTTAGACTCTCGAACAGAGGACCTCTGATCTTTAGACTTAGACACTCGAACAGAGGACCTGCGATCTATACACTCGATCCAACTGAGCTTCAGAAATGTACCTGGTTGTCAGTGATGAACTGTCATTCAAGTTCTGATTCACTACATTCTTTTCCTCCCTCCTGTTTCGACTCTCGAACAGAGGACCTCCGATCTATACACTCGATCCAACTGAGCTTCAGAAATGTACCTGGTTGTCAGTGATGAACTGTCATTCAAGTTCTGATTCACTACATTCTTTTCCTCCCTCCTGTTTCTAAGTCTTTGCTCCTTAAGACAACACTATATTTACAACTTTAGTTTGGGTATCCCTTTGCAATGCCAAGCATTTTAAGTTCTTGAAACAATTGACCAAGTCTTAAGGACATTCCAATATGGCTGCCACACCAAACTGTATATCAAATTCAATAATGCATTCCGTTAGCATTAAACAATCCCGGTCACAAAAAAATCCTCCTCCAATATTTCTCAAACATATACATGCACACTAAATTTCAGAAAAAACATTCAATAACTGATGCTTAGACACTCAAACAGAGGACCTCCGAATTCTAGACTTAGACACTCAAACAGAGGGCCTTCGATCTCTAGACTTAGACACTCACACAGAGGACCTTCGATCTCTAGACTGAGACACTCAAACAGAGGACCTCCAATCTCTAGACTTAGACACTCGAACAAAGGAACTCCAATTTCTAGACTTAGACACTCGAACAGAGGCCCTCTGATCTCTCGACTTAGACACTCGAACAGAGGACTTCTGATCTCTAGACTTAGACACTCACACAGAGGACCTTCGATCTCTAGACTGAGACACTCAAACAGAGGACCTCCGAATTCTAGACTTAGACACTCAAACAGAGTATCTCCGATCTCTAGACTTAGACACTCGAACAGAGGACCTCCGATCTATACACTCGATCCAACTGAGCTACAGAAATGTACCTGGTTGTCAGTGATGAACTGTCATTCAAGTTCTGATCCACTACATTCTTTTCCTCCCTCCTGTTTCTAAGTCTTTGCTCCTTAAGACAACACTATATTTACAACTTTAGTTTGGGTATCCCTTTGCAATGCCAAGCATTTTAAGTTCTTGAAACAATTGACCAAGTCTTAAGGACATTCCAATATGGCTGCCACACCAAACTGTATATCAAATTCAATAATGCATTCCGTTAGCATTAAACAATCCCGGTCACAAAAAAATCCTCCTCCAATATTTCTCAAACATATACATGCACACTAAATTTCAGAAAAAACATTCAATAACTGATGAAAAAAAAAAAATATATGTTAATTTTCCAAGCTGAATAAAATTCACAATCGAGAGAAAAAAAAGTTAAACTTGTAAAAATATCATAAGGTTTGATGTCCATGGAGAAGTCTTTGTCGAGAAAAATGTCAGAAAATGTGCCAAATCTCCAGAATAATTGCATATCCTGAATAAATCACAACTCTGCACAAAGCGAACAATGCTGACTGAGGTTGGAAAAAATCATACAAAGCAAGTGAGATTTTACCTGTACACAATTCACTACAGGTTCTCACTCGGGTATTATGGCTTGACTTGTATCAAAAGTCTTGTTAGCTTTATGAATTATTGTAAAATATCCAATCAAAATACATGTCATCATTCTCAAGATTTGAAGCAATGTTCTCACATTTTTCTCGACAATAGTCACTACATGGATACTTCAGGAATGCATGTACATGTAAGTTTTTTAAGGTCATTATTGACATTGTTCTTGACATGGGTAAACCAACCAACTTCCATATTTTTATCATTTTGAGGAAAAGTTAGTAGCCCAGTCCATCTCATACTATATACACTGACATAAGCCTGTATGAAATACCTTAATTATAATGCTAGTCAAGCTACACCTATTAAACGAGACATATAAAACCAGTAATATATATATATATATAAATGTCTTTGTTTAGTGTTATAACAGTATTTTTGGTGTATCGGCAGATAAGGCTAGAACTGGACTGGGTCGATCGTCGGCGACCGGTTTGAGTTAGCTCAATAAGGTCCAGTACACTCTGCTGATTGAGCTATATAGCTATATTCACCTATAAATTATAGCTGTATTGAGCTATATTTTTTTCAGATTTCAATTTTCATTAAACTAAAGCAAAGTTGCATTAAATAATAAGGTTTATGGTCATGTTGACTATAAAAAGCATATACAGTCAAGATGTTTATTTTCATTTTTTTATAAATTTAAATTTTCATTTTTTAAAAATCATTATTTTTTAAAAAGAATACTTACATTTAATGTTTTTTGTTCTCAACCTAATGATAACATCGTCTTTTACCAGCAACTTTGTTTCGTTTTCCTCAAAAAAGAAAATCACATGAAAATGGCTCAAAAGACCTATTTCGGACAGGTCAATACAGCTATTTAGTATTACAGGTCTTTACAGCTATATAGCTCAACCGGCAGAGTGTAATGGACCTGTCAATATTGGTAGAACGTCTGTCTCGGGTTTGGATGGTTCGGGTTCAAATATCTTTTCTAGCCTTGCATTTTCCCGCTGGTATAGAAGAAAGGCAGTTGAAACGACAAGTCAGAAGCCGACGAGAATTCCTTTTCATTACTGAAAACCCTACTGTGCAAATGTACCTGGCTTCGGCTGTTCGTTTGTTTCACTTTGTTCTGTTAGGCTAGAGAACGTGCAGCTTTTAAAAAGGCGCTTGCATTGTGCCTTTGTAAAGCGAGGGGATATATCTTAAATACAATGAGCCTTATATCAGAAAACAATACCAGTCTGTAAGACATGCATTACCAATTCTTTTAAACGGTGCAATGTCAGGAGTCAGCCACGTAATCATCACCAGTTATGTTACAGGAACCGGAAGTAAAGTGTATAAAATTCGGACCAACATCGATCGGCAAACAGTTTTATTCCGAAACTAGTTTGAAATACAGATTAAAATGTTTCTTTATATCATTCAGCAGTCAAATTTACTATGATTACATAATTTCTATTTCATTTTATTGTTTTATATTTAAACATATGCATGAAGTTGTAAAGTTAGCGTAAGCCGGAACGACTTAATGTTCGGTTCCCCGTTACTCCTGCGCTGTCCTGGCATTGTTTATTTATTCTTCGCTCAAAAATGGAAACATCACAGCGTTCAATTTGTAGTATGAAGTTCAAGCCATGGCATACACGTACCAAAAAGTATAAAAATTGACTTGCTGAATTAAATCTGGTAAGTTTTTATTTAAAATTACTTAGATATTAGGAGTCCCGAATATTTTCACAAGTAGTCATTGTGTGAAATGTTGAGGAGATTGAGCAGGGTCCTGTTCGTTTTTGACCGTCTTAAAATGTAACATTTTCGGGTATAAATCTTGGTAGACCTGTACATGTTTATGCAGACCTCGCAAGGCTTTTTCAAGGCTCACCTGAAAGCAGCATCAGGTTATTTGGTTTGACTTTATTTAATAATCGAACAATTGTCGTCAAACCGGTTCTAGTTGTTGGAGCTTTTATTACGACGCATCTAAGGGAACATTTTTTTGGTGGTGGAGGAAAGCCCACAGGGGAAATCCACCGTGTCTTTGGAGGGATAACAATTAACCCTGTCAGACATCACTCTGTGGGGATGGAACCGATATACTAGCGAGTCTATGATGAGTGGTCTGAAGCTAACGCTTGATTGCACACAGTAGAAATGTCACTGTGCGCTTTATTAGCGATCACCTTTACAGGGGTACATTCGCGTTACCGGTTGAAACGGTTGAACCGGTTGAACCTGTAAAGAAAACGACAGGTACAGATTTGGACCGAGGCTGACCTCAGGAAAATTTGGTACGTGTAGATTGAGGGGTCCAGACGTACCTGGCCGAAACTAAACTGCTGAATATTGCTAGTTTGCGTTATTTTTTTCTAAAACAATGTCAAGCCACATGTATTTTTTAAGATACGTTATGTAATTTAGTGGACGCGTGAGAGAAGGGCAGAATATTCTTGATACATTGTTTATTATTCTCCGAAACTGTGGATTTTTAGCTCTGCTTATAGAACGGTCCAAGTGTGTTCGTTTATCGTGGAAAATTTCTGCGCCACACGTACCGTTTCAACCGGTAACGCGAATGTAGCCCTGTTGAGTACTTTGATTCCTTAGGAGTGTTAAGGTATTTCGTACGGGCTCATGTCAGTGTATATAGTATGAGACTGTCTCATAACTTTTCCTCAAAATGAAAAAAAATTGGAAGTTGGTTGGTATACCCATGTCAGGAAAAATGTCAATAATGACCTTTGCAGATTTTTTTTGTTGCAAATATTGTTGACTTTGCCTGAAAAGTAACATTTAAATGCAGAATTTTAGTGACGCAAAAATTGCATTGAATATTATAATTCATGAAAACACTTACCTGTACATGGATTTCTGGAGTATCCGTGTATTGACTATTATCGAGAAAAATGAAAGAAAATACTTCAAATCTCAAGAATGATGCATGGCATGTATTTTCAATGAATATTTCACAATAATTCATGAAGATAACAAGGCTATTGATACAAGTCAAGCCAGATTACCTGAGTGAGAACCTGAAGGTGTTTTGAATTGTGTACAGGTAAAATCACACTTGCTTTGCATGCTTTTTCCCAACTTCAGGCAGCCTTGTTGGCTTTATGCTCAGTTGTGATTTATTCAGTGGAAATATATGCTATTATTCTGGAGATTTGACACATTTTCTTTGGGCTGTTTGATGCCATTCAAATTTAAATGGGGGTACCCCATACTACAGATTAATATTCAATGACAGTTAATGTATAGGGCAGTTATACCTGTCTATTTGACGTTTGCGCTGCAATAATCCATTGTATCAAACCAAGTACATTTTGTTCAGGGTTATAATACTATGAACAAAAATGAATAGTTATAAATAATAAAAACAGGATCAAAAAGTAAACGGACGTATGTATGAAGCATCCTTTAATTTGGTGAAGGAGAACCAATTTTGTATTTATAAACGGTGGGTATATATGACCCCCTTAGGGGCATAGGGGTGGGGCTCTGTTTGAAATTTGTTCTCGCTAAATCTCAAGTACTGGATGGATCTTTCTGAAATTTCATATGTACTTACAGCAACTACAATGGAGTGATATATTTTAACTTCATACCAATTATTTTAAACATATTCAGCTGAGTGATACAGGCCCTCTGGGCCTCTTGTTTCTAACCTTATTATACAGTTAAGTATGGGGTTGAGGGATATAGCAAGTTTCTGGTGTTCCGAGACCAGGTCTTTTTCCCGAGGCGAAGCCGAGGGAAATAGGCATGGTCAAGGGATACCATAAACTTGCTATATCCCTCAACCCCATACTTAAACCGTTTTATTATACTGATACACACTGCAGAGATAGTTTTAACTAGAAAATATTTGTAAACCATAAGCTGTATAGCTTCACGTCCCAACTACCCTTTTGGAGCCAAATTATTCCGAGTTCGGTAGCAAGCTCCGCCCACTTCGCCCGACGCTTCCGAGTTCAGTAACAAGCTCCTCCGCCCACCTCTCTCCTGATTGGCTCTGCGGAAACACCCGAGTGTAGACCTGTGTGTTTTGGTTCCCAGACTAACAAACAGGACTAAAAGTGGGGATATATTCGATTTAACCAATTACTTTTATATAGAGTAAATAAAGTATTTATATTTAAATAAAAAAATAAGACTTGTTCTTAAGCCGCTGGTTCCATGTTAGATTGTTTTCTAATCAGAAGAAAACTCATTAAATGGTGTTTATTATAGACAGTACTATCAGCAACACGTTAAGAATTGCATAATCAGGAACTTTTTGCCACAGTTTAACACTCACCATTTTCGCTCTCCATTATGATTGAGAGCAAATTTATCATGCATGACAGCAAATATTAGCAAACAATATTTAAATACATTTATGTATAATCTATATGCAGTGTAAATTTATGCATATATGCCAAGGGCAAAATTTACACTGGGCGAATACTGATTTCAATGGCAGAGGGCGAAATTTGACTGAGCAAAAGTTCCTTGATATAGAGTAATAATTTAATCTTGCCTGTAACAAGCATTTTCATTGGCTTAAACATTTATGTTATCAGCCCATAACGAAAAATGACGTCACCGTTTGTAACGTCGCTTTTGATTGGCTGATACAGCGGCGTAATAATTTCTAAGAGAAAAGAGTCCATCAATAAAAGTGGATTTCCACAGGGATTGTGTAGAGTAGATTAAATTATAAGGATTAACTTGAATATATTTTTTATGTTATGTAGCTATAATACAAAAAAAACGGAGTATACTCTCATCATAAACCGCTTTGCGGTTTTTTCAGAGTACTTTCTGTTTTTTTGTGTTATATATCTTCATAACATAAAAAATATATATTCAAGTGAATCCTTAAATAACATCACAGCCAACTGTATATTGTATTATGAGATTCTGAACCTTCGATCTAGAGCTGGAGATTGGGGTTTTCAAGGTAAAATAATGATACACAAAATGTATCTACCTAGTATTTAGAAATCACACACATGATTACATGTATGTAAATTATTTATAAGTGTACATACAGGGAAAATCCTGGAATTTGAGAGCAGTTGGCAATTTCAGCAAATGTAAAATGAAAGGAAAATTGAAACCTAGGAGGGGTCAATTTCAGTTTTGAATGATCAATGGCCCGGCCCCACGGCATGGCTCCCTGCAGGATTATATCCCTGTACATATATATACTATTGGCCAGAAACACCTACAGGTAATTAATTTAGACTAAAAAAAGTACTGGAAACAGCTCACTGTCATTGGTTTAAACTTTGTTTTATTCAAATGTTTTGACATTACATGTATATTGAAATTATAATACAAATTGTATATTTCTTGAAATAGAAAAGGAAACAAAAATAGGTGTCATGACACTTATGTAAATTTGTTACCTGTCATTGATAATTTTCTTTTAACAGATCAGAATCATGAGTTCATCACTTTTGTCTGAATGGCAGTCAGAAAGTTCTCTGCCAATCTGCCTAGAACATCTGTTTAACACGAAGATTGGCTCCGATGTGAGATTTGTGGTCGGTGACAGACAGGATGTAGTGAGGGGACATAGAAGTATTCTGATCTGTCGAAGTCCTGTCTTCTGTGCCCTATTGACCTCTCAGAAACCAGACCCTGTCTTTTCTGAATGGTCTGTGATAGTGGCCAACACTTTTAAGAATATCTTCAACGTCTTCCTCAGGTCAGTATTGTAACATTCTTTAACTCATTCACCCCTGAAGTTTCATAGTGAACTATTCCAACCTTTGAATTGGAAGAGCTCAAATGTGTCTTTAGGGGTGAATGAGCTAACTTAATCAACAACCAGTGTACTAGCATCTTGGATACGCCAGAGCCTGTATTCATGAAACCGTTGTCCTGCTCAAGCATAGATTTTGTGCTAAAGCCGAATATTTTGTTCCCGCAATAAGTTAAGAAGACAATCATATTTTGTCAATGATTTGAGAAAACATTAAAGCAGAAAACTGTTTTCAATGTTTACATTTGGCATTTTGATCGTTTGACAGGATTTAAGGTAGTTACAAGAAAAATGATGTGAGCACAGAATCCATTCTTGAGCACGAGAATGGTTTCATGAATATAGTGGGTTACGCTCACTTTCGCTCTCTGCACCCCTGGAATATTTCATAGCAAAATTGAAGGCACGTGCCTAGCTATTTGATTAGTCAGAGGTAAAAAAAAACCTGACTAATCGTTAGGCTGATACCTGTCCTTTGAAGATTACAGAAGAGCGACATCTGACTTCAAAGCAGTTACGTGACTGGGAGATTCTTTTGATGTCCCTATCAAAGGATCAAACTAGTTTTCTCATCTCATCCACAAGGTTATGCACACTGAGCGTTCGATGTTGTCATTACATATTCCAGTGGTTCATAGAGCAAAAATGAGCGTAACCCGTGGAATATCGAGGATGGTGTACTAGACAAAATTCTCATGTTGATCGAACATGCATTTTCTTCAACTTCTTATTACATAATATTACATTAACAATTTAACATTGTTATTCTTAGCCTGCAAAATGGTGGATTCAGGGTTTGACGCTAACGGTTTTGGTTGGCAGTCCACAGGACTAGTTGAACAGAATGATTGAATCGTACTGGAGGATGCCCGGAGCCCTCGGTATCACGGAAGCAGTAAGGAAGACGGCAGGTAGAGAGTTGGGGAACGAAGCGGAAGGGGCACCACGATGGCTGTGGATGCGGAGAGGAGACAGTAGCTGGAACCAACCGTCGGGAAGTAGGGACTGACACCCCTGCTGACCCACCATCCAGAGAGAGTTCCAGGTTAGGGGTTGAAACCCTCGACGATGGATGGACCTGGCTGATGACGACGACGGTTGAGCAGCAACAACAACAGTTGTATTCAGGTACACATCCTCCAGCACGATTGGCCCAGGAATCCTCTGCAGCCTACTTCCACAGGAAAGTTCCATGCCTGCCAGCCTTTTCTGCCACACTCCTCTGTCAGCTCCGCATACTTGCTCTTCTTCCGTTTGTGCGCTGATTCACACCTTTTCTCCCACGGCACAGTCAGTTCCACCATCACCAGTTTCTTCTTGCTGGGTGATAACAACACTGTCTGGTCCTAGTGTTGTCTCCAGGATCTCCGGAAAAAACAATGTCCTCCCTCCAAGATCCACACGTATCTCCCAGTCTCCTGCACCTTCAAGAATACACAGGTTGGCATTCCTTGCTGTTCCCAATGGTGTCTGTCCCTCTCTGTGGAACATTGGTCCCCTTTGTGTTCCATGTGTTCTTCCTTTCCCTCTCAAGAGTGTGAGCAAGTTGCCCTAACACCTGGTTATGTCTCCAAGTGTATCAGCCCTTTGCCAGCGCTACCTCGCAGGAAGAGAGAATGTGTTCCCGATTGCCGGGTCTTCCACATTGGTGACATGTGGGATCTTCCACCAATCCCCATCTGTGAAGATTTGTCGGTGTTGGAAGCACATCATAGACCGCCCTGAGAATGAACTGTAGCTGCCATGATGTGTATCTCCAGATCTCTGTCCATGTCATCTTCTTCCCTTCCGTCTCCCATTGGGTCCATGCCCTTGAATCCCGTCTCCACTGCTTTCACCTTCCTTGCTTCCTCTTCCTGTTGTTTTGAAGTTTATCTGTATTTTAATTAAGCAGTTCTCCAAAAGGATTATTCTTATTTTATTATTCTACAAGTCCAAAGGACCAGTTAGGTTAGTTGATTCACTATAGTCCTTGCTGAAATCTACCAGTCTCAGACGAGAGGACTAGTGTTAATGTGCTTGATACTGGTACTTATTGTGATAGTGATTAACACCCAGGCATTCCTCGCAGGCGGCCGGGGTTTGGTATGTTTGGATGTTGTGGTATCTGTGCTGTAGCATTCAAGTGAGGTGTAACTATAAATGATGCCGTTGGAAGCACAGTCCCACTACAAACAGAACACATTACATCTCCAGCTCACAGGCAGGCATACTCACATAGGAAGATATTAGCCAGTTGGCATAGGACTAGTAGGTAGCGCCTGATAAGGCAGCTCCTGCGAATTCCTCAAAATTGTATTGATTAATGTTTATATATGCTGATTGTATTTATTGTATATCTATGTACTGTAAAGCGCATTATACTTGGCTTATGTTAGCTAGATAGAGCGCTATATCAAATATTGTATATTATTGAAATATATGAAATTTTACAAGCAATATATAGGGCTGTAGCAAATTATATTTTGGAATTATAACAAAATTATGTTTAAATCTTTTGCAGGTATCTGTACACAGATCATGTGGACGAGCATATGACGAAACATGTGACCAAGGCCTTACTTAGTCTGGCCAAGGAGTATCGCGTCAACAGACTCGTCAGTCACTGCGAGAGATTCTTAAAGGAGATCGAGAGTAGAGAATCCCATTGTGACAATTTAAGGAATGTCTCAAAAGTGGATGATGGAAAACATCCAACTATGGGAAGTGTGTTGCAGTCTTCTAGTGACAATAACATGTACTTGGTGAATACTACACGGAAAACGTGTGTGAGTGGGAGAAACAGTTCAAGGATAACAGAGACACCGCAGACAGCCCAGGAAAGAACTGATCGGGAGACTAGCGATACATGTTCACGTGATACAAATGAAATTCAACCACAACATATAAAGGTGGAAGTTCAAGAGGATTGTTTTGATAATACTGAGAATACTTCACAGAATTTATTGTCAGAAAATCCTGAGGTCAGAAACTACAATAACGACAGCACTTCACAGAATGTAACGTTGGAAAAAAGCTATGCTGACGACGCTTCGGGGAATAGCAATGAAAGTCAATTGCGACCCATCAAGACAGAAATTATAGATGAATCATTTTGCCACACTTACACTGTTTCACGGAATATTGGAGTTGTGTTGGAAAATCTTGAGGATGGTAGCTACACATTTCCTGCCAATATTTTACCAGACAAGAATGAAAGTCAAACAGAACATATCAAGGAGGAAGTTTCCGAGGAAACCACAGAGATTGAAACTCCTGAGAAAAGAAACTGTACTGTGAGTAATTCCAAGGAAATGAAGACAGCTACTTCACAGAAAGTACCGAACAAAACTGCAGTGGACAAAAATGACTCGGAAAGAAATTCAGAAACAGTAAAGATGGAAATTCGTGGCATTGAAACAGACACGAAGAATGTTTGCCAGCCTGTTGATAAAGAGCTGGTTCTGAGGGTTGAGAAAGTTGTGCTGCTAACAAGACTGACTCCAGACAGTAGAGGTAATTATAATTACACGTGATTTAAGTTGAATTTTCAGTTAATATAATGTAAAACACTTTCTTTGATACACTTTTTCGAAAAAGATTCCTGACCAGCCATAACTTATACATAGAGGATTTGTCATTGCAGGGTTTTTGCTAGGTGTGTATAGGGTCCAGTACAGCGACCCATTCCAAATTGAAAAATGACCCTGTATTTTCCCAATTTCAGTCATTATTTTCCCAATTGGATTAAAAAGAATGTTTATAGAAATATCCAGTCATTATATGTGCAACATTCAAAGACTAATATTACCGTCTATGAAGGAGCGAGCATTCAAAATACATAAATGACGTGACTTCAATGGATTACCTGAGTATTAAATTTATATTGAATGAGTTGCAATTTGGAACTTTAGTCGTAGGAAAACTTCAAGTTATACGAGTGTTCGAGTTAGGCGGGTTCATATATTTGGTATGAAATGTACTGTTTGGACATATATAGCACTAGCAGTCGTTGATTTGTACTAATTAATAGCGAATGCTTATAATCAATTAATGGATGATATATGTAATCAATAGGACAAATACATGTATGTTATTTTATAATAAACACCCTTACAAAAGTAGAGTAAGATTTTTCCCGAAAAACGTACTTTCGTTTAACGCGATGAAAACGGTTGGACCATATTGCGATTTCGTTATGAAATATGGACGGGCCTAGTGATTAGATTTGGCTAGTCTTGGGAAAGTCTTTCTATGTCTTCATTTATATTTGCGAGTCCGTCAAGTTTTACCTCTGAAGTGTTATATTTACGATGCTGAAATGAAAGTGCGCAAGTCTAAAACAAATCACTGTAATGGAGCGTACGCATAGTTGATTGTTGAAAACACACACAAACATATTATATCGTACATGTAACACATTAATTCATTAAAGCCAAATGTGACACCTGACACCTCCTCAACACAATGTAATCAACAGCAATTATCGTATTGTTCTTAAAATCTCTCGATTGACTTTCAAAGCCATACTGGCTCCTGTAAAAACACAAACCCTTGAAGCTGTCCTATGTTGTGATTTTGACTGTGGAACTCTTTTATGCATGACCACGCTTTGTGACCAATTTTCCGGTTTGGACTGTCGTCAATTCAGGTGTACAAATGTGATCATTAAACGAAATCGCAGTAAGAACAGAGTACTGTTGATCAACATTGATGAAGTTTTTTCTGATGAACAACGTGGTTTTGACAGTCCGCACACTTTACAGTCTTAAGCTTTATCGTAAATTATTTTTACCAATTTCATGCTAGTCTACTCACGAAAGATGTTCATAAACACGCAATGGCGAAATGCCGTCGTATTGCGTTTTATTTGTATCAAAGAATAAATAATTGACGAAATGAAATTCGAACACTATTTCAGTAGGCGATGTTTTGATGTTGGATTTACGCTATTGAAACCAATATCTTACTTCGAGGTATCAAGTTTTTCGAGTTTTCAGGGTTCGAATTATCAGAGTTTTATTTACTAAGATAAAGAAGAGATTTGGCCGGGACCGGAGACATACTTTGAGATAAACGGGGTCTTCGCGTTATAAGAGTTCGAGTTAACAAGATTCGACAGTATATATATATTATATATATACATTTCCAATGTGAGTTAATTGCCATTGCAGGGAAAATCCTGGAATTTGAGAGCAGTGGGCAATTTGAGCAATTTGTAGTCAAAACCAAAATTAAAAGGGGCCATTCTATGTAAAATTAAAAGAAAATTGACACTGTTATATATAAAAATGAGGTATAATAAATTATTTATTACTTGCCAACTTCAATGAAAACATTCCAAAAGGAGTGTGTGTGTTTGGAGTTTCACATTCTTCTCAACAGCTATAAGCTTAACCCTTGCAACCCCCATGTAACTTAAGTATACTCTTCTGTGCATTGATATGGATGAGTCCATTATGGTCTACAGTGGTGATCATGATCAGGAGACAGGAACCAATGGAGAGGTGATACTGCCACAGACAAAGAATCTTGTATTATTTCATTCTTTGACTCTCTTTCTTATGCATGGTTGAGTTTCTATATGGTACCGGTATTTCTCTATTTTATCCATGTTTGTCTGTGTGCATGGGAAGTATTTCTGTAACTCTTGTCCTGGCCATTTGTATTTGAGCGTTTGGTACAGTTGTGGGACCGCACAACGCACCAAAAATAGCGTGTGCACACCGTGCATACATCGTTCACACACCGTCCGCACATCGTCCACACATGGTGCGCACAACTGTGCGATTTAGCAATCGTTCGCCCCGTTGTGCGATTCTCTCCGCACAACTGTGCGATTTGGTATCATTTGAAGATCAAAATTACGGAATGACAAAAATACGGAAGGCTTGTATACGATAATGTACACTGTGTATATATCTGTAATTTCTCATCACAATAATCAAGATTACACAATTTCACAATGCGTGTTACACAGTATTACAGCGACCGTAAGACTGTCAAGAATGGGTTTGGCTCCAAGGTAACAGAACAGGTAAATAACAATTTTATGAGTGTCCGGAGTTTTACCTGACCAGTGCCTGACACACAGAGCTGATATGCGATACCGTTTGACCGTAATGAATAGTATTTGTTATTTGCATTCGTTTGCCTATAGCTCCCCTTCACCTGGATTTTCACACCCCCGGCCTTACCCGACGAGTTACGTAAGTGCCCCAGGCGGGGAGAAAACTACGGTCCAGGGACATGTACAAAGTGGTTATGTTTACCTGTATACGGGATTGTGTTGTAATTTTACATGTGACGATTAAGTTTGTTTAAAAACACAGAAAACACAATTTCTAAATATAAGAATGTATAGACAGAAAGAAAAATTATATAAGTTTATAGATGTTGCTAGAATATAGAAACATACGTAAACATCAGGTTAATATGTTTAAACACAAAACCGTATAAATTGTTAAGGCATTCCTCAATTTGCACCAACCACGATTGTTATCGCACAGCGTCCGTCCATCGTGCGCACAGATGTGCGCAAGCAATGATCGTCCAGCTTTTTATCGTTCGCCCATCGTGCACACACCGTTCACACGCCGTGCACACATCGTGCGCACACCGCACATCGTGTAACGTTGTGCGATCCCACAACTGTAGTAGTGTTCTTAGCCTCTCCCTCCTGTTTGTGTGTCTAGGACTGGAGCCTATGGAAACAGATCAGGGACGAAACATAAGAAGGATGAATCAAATCGGAAGTGAGGACGAAATTTCATTCCAAGATGATACGAATGAAGATCCGAATTACACACTTTCTGATTCTGAGGTTGGAGGTGATGACGAAGACTGGATGATGGGAAAAGGTGAAAAGATTGCAGATCTATGAAAGTTCCAAATATATCCCAACTGAAGGGAGAAGTCATAATGGATTCAGTGAAATGAAAGATTTAAATGTCCTCAAACCAGCTACTCCTAAGAAAATTAGCCACAAAATTGTTCCTACGATGTCACTTACCCTGCAATTCATACCAAAAGTACACAAAGAACTCCAACCGGGAAAATTCAAAGTCTGGTAGGTTGTATGACAGACTTCACGCTTGTCCTTTCTGTGAAAAACTGTTGAGTATAATATTCAAATGCATGTGGAACAAAAACACTGAACAGAAACGGAAGTTCAGGACGTTATTGCTCTGAAGAGGAAGATAGACAAGGCAAGTGAATCATGTAGGACATCTCCTAATCTGAAAATAAAAATATTGCAAAAACTTCTTCGTAATACGGGTGAAAATTTTCAAATGAAGGTCCCCTCTTGTTATCACGGCGAAAAATGCCTGTGCTTTTATATATATAACATACAGGATTATGGTCCGTGTCCGGAGTGTGAGGAATGGTTCGTACTCGACCACCACATCAAGAGGCATCAAATGATCTGTCCGGGATCAAAGAGAACAGAATCAGGTGAAACAAATATGCCTAATGGTTCAACTGTCATCCGGTCACATATAATAAAGGGAGAGATAGATGCATGTTCAAACAGACTTAAAAGAGAAGTCTTTCTGTGTATGATCCGAGACGATGAAACAGAAGCTGCACAAGACGACAGACTGATCACTACTTTAGGTGACCTAATCTATAACAATATACTCTATAAAGGGAAACTTTCCCTAATTACGTACCCTGCCTAATGAGAGCAAATTTATCATGACAACAAATATTACTACACAACATACAACATGTAGTAGTTACATGTGAATGGTAAAATTAACACCGAGCGAACCTTGATTTTATTGGGAAAGGGGAAAATTTCCCAGTATACAGTATTTTTGTTATTAGATGAAAACGCCGTCAAGGCTGTACAAATATTTAAAGTATCCCATGTCATATCGTCATGTTTTTGTTGTTAAAAACTATATACATTATTTAAGTTCATGTTCTTCATGCATGGGTTGCATTTGAAATGGGAAATATTGTCCGGCCAGTCTTCTTCATGATTTGTCAAATCAAATTGTTATTGTTCCATTTCATGATTAAGGATCAGAGGTCAGCTAAAGTGGATAAAAAGATGTACAAATATCACCTTAATCCTTTCACCCCTATGTAACATTAGTAGAATCTACCATGCATCGATATGGATGAGTCCATTTTGGTCTACAGTGGTGAAAGGGTTGAGTTCTATAGGCCTTTGGATATGACTTTTGACCAGTATCTAGGGTAGGTTCCTTGAATGGTATGTTATTAAGTGTCCTCGTATATATGACATTCAAGGTAACACAAGTCATACTCATTGAAATATTTTAAACAGCTTTATCTGAACAATCATGAGCCATAGAGCCACAGTACTATCAGGATTGGACCCAGGGTCCTGTTTGGTCCCCGCCCCTGGGGGCTTAGTTCTCTACATACGAATGGTCGAGAAATGGCTGCTACCTTGATTGTTTCCAAGAAATAGACCTGTCCCTTAGAAATTCATCCCATGATCAGTAAAAAGATATGTTTGAGATTCCCATCCCAAAGGGGGTAATTTGCGCATTTAATCTTTGAAAAACTACTTTTCTTTATCAGTTGAACCAATTTCAAATACATATATCTGCATTCTCACACTCCACAAGTATACGTTATGATTTTCTTCTTAGCATACTTTACAAGGTGACTAGATTGTTAACAGTGTTTTTCTATAAATAACATTGGTAACCTTGACCTTTGCCCCCTTTTACATGAAACCATATAAGGAATGCTCATACCTGACAAACACATCATCTCATAATGATCGTCTATCACTTGATAAGGTGACTAGGTTGGTTTTACTGTACTTCAGAATTGTACACAATAATCCATTTAAATTTTGAGAGGTTATGTCCTGATAAAATCAGGAGGGATCAGTTTGTACCAGCATGTAGATAATACAAGTAGTAATAGCAATATTGACTAACTGTTAAGTTGTGTGTCCTGCATTAAATAATGTAGGAAAAAACAAACGGATTTAGAAGTCCAATCTTTTAAAAACTTCAAATAATGTTAATAATATTAATGTAAAGTAAAATCATATATTTTCGTGGGGCATTGAATTTCATTTACATCGTGTATAACAAAAATCCACGAAATTAAATCCCCACCAAAAACATAAATTTGGTATAATATAGATAGGGACAATCAGAAATTAGTGAAATATAATGTCCTTGAAACAGGCTAGTATATGAAAAACAACGAAATGTTAACCCCACGAAAATAAATGATTCTGCGGTGAAAAAACAAGGTTTGTGACGTCTCATTTATAAACTCATCACACTTTGGCGACAGGTGGCCGGTAAGCACTATCTGTTTGTTTCTGGCTATATATATAGTATCGACCAAGGATATCGGAGAGAAAGGGATAAATACTCATCATATAACGGCTCAAAATGAACTATGAATTTACGCATGATAGTTTTAAATTTCATCAAATGTCAAGTTTTGTATTTTATTTTCCTCCAAGCAATTAAAATCTTGTTAATCTTATTGTTAGTTATTATACATTGTTCAGCATCATTTGAGGATGGAATACTAGGCGTGTATCATATTTGATTCAATATTAAGCTGACAGGATGACTGACAGCCAGTCTCATTATTGTGTGTGTATGTACTCAATGCACATGAACAACTACACAAGGAATGTTATAAGAGTTTGACTGTTGAAATATTCCAGAAAAGGTGGATGTGACAGTTCATTAATGTCTGAGTATATACAAGTTGATAAAAGCGAAATGTGTGTTATAGTTGATATGGTTATATGATGTATTCTACTTTTACAAAGAATGAAACGTCTCTGAGTTACTACTCATAGACTGTCAAAAGCGACTAACACGCTCTACTGTAGAGCTTGTTAGTCGCTTACGACAGTCAGCGTGGTGTCATTGCAAGTAAAATTGACTTTCAACAAATACTTACCTTCACATGGCATGGCAATGGCTTGTTTGTTTTGTGTTTAAACAGACAAAGTGATTTGAAGGTGGGTACACAATGAGACACTACCGGAAGAAAATTGGAACGCAGGAAAAGAAAAAAATAGGAAAGTGGGAAAAGAAAAAAATAGTTGGCAGTTACAAGACTATGAACTGACAACAGTAAAATAATCCAATGTATTAAAAAAAAAGTTGGTGTTCTGGTGCTTGATCAGTCTTATATTGATTTATATCTTTCATTCTTTTGATAAGAAAATTATCTTCATTTGTTATATTAAACGACAATAAGTGATGAAAAAGACAACACTTTATTAATCAAAATGTTATACATGCAAATAAAACGCCACCAAAATCAAAGGAATTTTAGTTGTCTACGAATGGAAATAAGTAGTCTGAAAACAGAGACAGTTTAGTCAATAACAGGGATATTGTTTAACGAAAGGAAAAGAATGATGAATATAAGACGCACACGAGATTGCACGGATACAATTTGGTAACTGAAATGAATGGCAGTGCACTATGAAGTTGTTTCGTCCTTCTAGGACTCATCGGTGATGCTAGGGAACAAAATAGTTGAAATTAGTGTAAACTATTGTTGAAACAAATCGAAAGTGCATGAAACCCCTTAACCTTTCCACCGCTGTAGACCATAATGGACTCATCCAGATCAATGCATGGTAGAGTCTACTAAAGTTATATAGGGTTAAAAGGGTTAATTATTTGAATATGCCAAATGTAAATCACGTCTTTGTACACTTAAAATTAGATCATTTAGATATATGTTGTCCAGTTACTAATAGAATACAAGTAAATTGGAAGAGAACAGTCTCAACTACTTTCCTCATCAAGAAACTCTTCCTCGTCCTCCGCTCTTAGCAGCAAACAACCGTACGTGGATATAGTTTATTACTTAGATATTTACATTTCTGCTGCTGGTCTGTAAACAAATAATAATATCGCAAGAAATTGCGTCCATAGGCCTATGAACCCATTCAAATCAGTGTCATTTTTAAGCTTTTCCTTCCCTCATGCAATTATGCTTGACCATCGCAAGATGCAATTATTTAGAAGAAATAAGGCTTTTCTATGAAGATTGTTTGCCCCGACGATACATACATTCAACTTCAATTCTGTAAGTACTAGGGAATTCCTATATTTAGATCATTGATTGCGTTAAGTTCTGGATGTAGATAATACGTATTGAACGCCAATGTTTTAATATTTATGCAGAAACGCCCGCCGCGACCATTCAGACAACAGCCCCCCTACAGAGTGCACAAGAACAGGAAGAAGAACCACGGCCTAAGAGATTCAAAGAGAGCAGTCTCAACTATTTTCCTCATCAAGAAAATCTTCCATGTCATCCGCTGTTAGCAGCATGCAGGCGTACGTGGATGTAGCTTATTACTAAGATATTTATATTTCTGCTGCTGCTAGGTTTGTAAATAAATATTATCGCAAAATAAATGCGTTTATAGGCTTAGGAACGCATTTCAACTAGTGCCTTTTTGAATGTTTTCCTTCCCTCATGCAAATATACTTGATCATCGCAAGATGCAATTATTTAGAAGAAAAAAGGCTTTTCTTTGAAGATTGTTTGCCCCAACGATACATACATTCAACTTCAATTCTGCAAGTACTAGGGAATTTCTATATTTAAATCATTGATTGCATTTAGTTCTGGATGTAGATAATACGTATTGAACGACAATGTTTTAATATTTATGCAGAAACGCCCGCCGCGACCATTCATAATGCAGAAGAAGAACCACGGCCTAAGAGATTCAAAGTTGCTTCAAATGAGGAACTGAGTGAATTGTTTGACGCCCGACACACAAAGTCTACGAAAAGGAACACCGCATGGGGGATGAAGATATTTCAAGGTAGGGTTGAACTGTAGAAATGATTGTGATAATTATACGAGATCTTCAGTGTTTCGATAACGACCTCCTTTATAACAATCACGACTATTGTTTCGACTAAACTGCAAGAAAACGACAACTACGGCTAACGTTTCAACTAAACTGCAATAAAAATGACATTCACGGTTTATGTTTCAACTAAAATACAATAAAAAATAAACGACAACTACGGCTAGTGTTTTAACTAAAATGCTATAAAAATGACAACTTCGGCTATTTTTTCTACTAAAATACAATAAAAAATGAAATCTACGGCTATTGTTTCAACTAAAATGCAATAAAAAATGACAACTTCCGCTATTGTTTTAACTAAAATACGATAAAAAATGACAATTACGGCTATTGTTTCAACTAAGCTGCTATTAAAATGTCAATTACGGCTATCGTTTCAACTAAACTACAATAAAAATGTCAATTACAGCTTTTGTTTCAACTAAAATGCAATAAAAATTGACAAGTACGGCTATTGTTTTAACTAAAATGCAATAAAACGACGATTTTATGGCTATTGTTTCAACTAAGCTGCAATAAAAATGACAATCACGGATATTATTCAACTAAAATGCAATAAAAAAATGATAATTACGGCTATTGTTTCAACACAACTGCCAATTATTTCATCAATGAGTTTCTAACTTGCACTTGAAATAAATCAATTCGTATTTTGCAGACTGGAACATAGAAATGTTCGGCAGACCGCTTGATATGGCTGCAGTCAGTGTGACAGATTTGGCAGAGGAGCTCCGAAAGTTCTACTTTGGTGCGAGACCGAATAAAGGAAGCGACCATGTGTACCAATGTAATACACTGATCAATATTCGGGCGGCAATCAACCGATACTTATCAGACACACATAGAAACATTGATATCGTCCGAGATAAGGAATTCAAACACGCAAACGGAGTCTTAGACGGGCTACTGAAACAACGGAAAAGCACAGAGCCGAGAAAGGCAATCACACAGAAAACGGTCATAGAACAAGCAGATCTACAAAAGTTCTTTACCTACCTCGAAAGTGCCGAGTCATCTCCAATTGTTCTTCGCCTTTGTGTCTGGTTTAATTTGTCGATGCATTTCGTTACAAGGGGCATGGAGTTCCATCAACAGCTAACGCCCGATTCATTAATATTCCAACATGATGAGTTCGGGGAATATGTTTCATTAGCTCACGATACACATCAGAAAAAACATCAAGGTGGTTTAAATTACAAAGAGTCGATGAATGACAAACGTATGTACAGTTGTCCCGAGTCTCCCTCTTGTCCGGTGAAAATGTTGAGACTGTTATTAGAAAAGACTGATAGAAATGCTACACATCTGTTCAATCAGTACAAGAAAGAAGCCTGCTTCTCTCCGACAACCACAAAGATTTGGTACACCACAAAACCCCTAGCGACACGGACATTCGCACGCTTCCTCTCCGATATGTGTAAGGGAGCTGATGTTGACAAGCCGTACACGCCTCATTGTTTGCGATCCACTGCAATACATCATTTAAACGACACTGGATTTGAAACAAGGCATAGCATGTACGTGTCGGACCAACGGAAGGATTTATCTCTACGCTTGTATTACCCTGCGAGATCTTCAGATCAAAGTAGATCCCAGAGCACCGCGCTCTCTGTGATGACAAGCAGTTCCTCCCAAGTCCCACTTCCCCCGGAATTGAAAGTTGTTGTTTCGAAACCAGAACAAGCAACCGAGTCCACGTAGCCGTCCACAACAATGATACATGTATCCATATCTTCAAACGGATTTGTCATTACCACCAGCAACATTACGCCCTAACCCGGATTTGTTGTTCATTTTTTCAAGATTCTGACATTAACGTCAAAACTTATACATAGATAAGGTGACGCGTATTTATAACCAAATCACTACCGTAATGGTAGGAAGTGAACATTCTCTGAAAAATAAGGTTCTTTTATTCTATTCTTCCTTGTGCCATTTTCGTTGCGCCAACGGGCGATAACTTGAGGGTCCTTGTGTTGATTTAACTCAAACTAGGTACACATATTGCATACCAATATAGCTCAGACAAGTTCGCATTTCAGACGTTTACTTGCATTGTTGGTGGAGTTGTGCACATTTTATTGCCAATTAAGGTCATTGTGCAGTAAATGCAAGAAGTTCTTTTATTTTTGTCGAGACATAGGTCCGGCGACGGCGGCGATGGTGGCGTCAACATTAAAGCGTTTGCGTTTAAGTTAGTTTCTCTGAAAGTATAAGTGCTAGACCAACCAAACTTGGACCATAGATGCATCTTAGGAAGTACATCTCAACCCATGCATGAAATGGTGGATGCGGCCTACTTTTCATGGTTCATTGACTTTGTCGGCATCTCCATCAACATTCAGTTTTTTGCGTTTCAATTAGTTTCTATGAAAGTATAAGAGCTAGACCAACCAAACTTGGACCATAGATGCATCTTAGGAAGTACATCTCAACCCATGCATGAAATGGTGGATGCGGCCTACTTTTCATGGTTCATTGACTTTGTCGGCATCTCCATCAACATTCAGTTTTTTGCGTTTCAATTAGTTTCTATGAAAGTATAAGAGCTAGACCAACCAAACTTGGACCATAGATGCATCTTAGGAAGTACATCTCAACCCATGCATGAAATGGTGGATGCGGCCTACTTTTCATGGTTCATTGACTTTGTCGGCATCTCCATCAACATTCAGTTTTTTGCGTTTCAATTAGTTTCTATGAAAGTATAAGAGCTAGACCAACCAAACTTGGACCATAGATACATCTTAGGTAGTACATCTCAACCCATGCATCAAATGTTAGAAGAGGCCTACTTTTCATGGTCCATTGACTTTGTCAGCATCTCCATCAACATTAAGTTTTTGCATTTAAGTTAGTTTCTTTGATATGTGCATTGATGGTCAAAGCGGGGCATAGGCGAGACATATCAATCAGAATGGCTTGTTTAATCAATTCCTTTCACATTTTTGAAGGTAATGCTAGAAGCAATAATGTTCAACATATGTTACGGTGTTTTTTTTTGAGTTTCCAACTTTCCACGTTTTGGTATATCTGTTTACGCGATAACTCAAGCCAAAACACTTTTCTTACTAAAAGCGCCGAGCAGGCGACACATCCACTCCCATGGAATTCTTGTTTGTACTGCAGAAACAGAAGTAAAATTATGCTCATGTAAAAGCGCGGTTACTTATAATTGTAATAATTAAAAGTTCATGCAACAGTATTAAAAAGGAAAACGGTAATGAAAGCCATGCTGCATGGCCGATAGTTCTTCACACGATATTCAAAACAAATTAAGCAAAAACCAAATCTATCTAACTGGTTTGATTTAAGCTGCGGAAGTCGTAGCTCCTTGTCAGATTGTTAACCCTTTCACCCCTAGGTAACTTTAGTAGACTCTACAATACATTTATCTGGATCAGTCCATTCTGGTCTACAGTGGTGAAAGGGTAAAGTGATACAGGTTTTGTTAAACGTCCTCATCCCAGGGCCATACATCAAAGTTTGATCATCTCAGCGAGACTTTAAGACAAATGTACACAATGTGGTTTTTGAGAAAGATCTTAAAATTTACAAATACAAATGTACTGGTATTTTCCTGCTTTTATTATCTTCAAATAATATGTATACCACAGATATGAAGTGTAATATGTACCGACATGGCTAGGGTGTGTGAATACGCCTAATGAAGCGAAGCTTCTCATTATATACATGTACCTGTAGTTTTAGTTTTAAATTTTAACACTTTTTCGTAAATATACTTGATTACTTATTTTGCATTTAATTGCCACGAAGTTTATGGAAACCCCAATTTACGGAAGGTTCACGGCGTATGACGTATAACACAGACATTATAAATATATCAGACATTATGCTAATTTTCCCATCAGTAGGTTGCTGCTCACATAGTGCTGTTTCTCTCATCTGACTGAAGGGAAACTCGGGTCTTATGTCGCGACCTTGCATCTATCATTTTTTTAATGTCTAAGTCAGACGCTCACTTGGACGGAGGTCTATCAACTGATCAAATGAATATTTTTGCCAGAATCATCACAAACAACCTTAATTATACACATTTGCAGTTTCACGACATTTGACGTATTTTCACATTTTAGCCATGATAGTACAACTCGCCCCTTTTATTTGTGGTTTATAAAAATGTTTAGTTACAATTCAATTTAACTTATTGATTTCAATTCAACAAACCCAAGGGTCCAATTACAGAATTGATATCAATAATAACAATAGCATAATAAGATATCACAGATTAATACATACAAACAATATTAAGAAAAGTGTACCATACATACAGAAGTATAATAATCATCTAAAACCTACTACCTTTTGGCGAGACTTAAAAGAAGGCAAGGTACAATCGAATATACAGTCGAGCTCACGGGCATTTCTGTTCTTACTGCACGATGCTAAATTTTCGGACATTATTCCTACTAGGTGGACAACTAAATTGTAAAATCGTAGCAGAACGTAGAAATATTCTCGGAACTAAAATACCAATCATTTCTACTAAAAACGAGCAGTCGATCCAGATATTGTCGTCTGCTTTCCAAAGAAGGCAGATTAAAATGTTTAGGTATATCAGAATAAGAATGGCTATGGAAATCAAAATTTGCCTTAAAGCACAAAAAAAAATCCTTGTACTGATCTAGCTAGTGTATAAATGTATTTTTTTTGCGGTGACCAGATTTCGCTGCAATACTCCCATTGACTTCTGACTAAAATAATATAAACTGATCTACAATGACCTTATTACTGATACGTATTTGCATTCTTTTTGACACAATACAGTAGATATTAAAAAAGATAGGAGTTATATTGGACAAATTCCTCTCTTTACTCTTGGTGTTATAAAAGTATTTATTTGTCATTGTCGACGTTTGCAAATAGTATTTTATAATAAATCGATACGTTTTTAATGTAACTTGCTTGAAATATATTTTACCAAAATCAATAACTTATGCGAGATGTTCGACAAATTTTATGAATTTCTGATGAAGTTTTTACCATCTGATTGACTATTTATTAAATAGTATATTCTGAAGGAATTATTGGATTGCAGCTTTATCCAGAGAGCCTGGCTCATTATGGAATGTATACATATTTAACGAGAATGTTGCGATTTAATAGGCTGGCAGTTTTTGGATGATTATTTTAGAATACATTGTTATTTTGTATTGAGCTATATATATCCTGGTATACTTATTATTCAAGTAAGTTTTGTTGTCCTTTTATTTGAAGAAATTTTTAATTTATGATTTGCGTATTTTGTAGCAGAGTGAAATTTTAAGAAAAATAACAAATAGTCGTTGACTACGTATTATTATTGTCCATGTGAAAAAAAACCACATTATTGAGTGTGGATTTCTTGTTGATACTATTAATTTTTTGAAAGAACACTAAGTCTTATGGAAATAAAACAATAAATATTAATACAATGCTCACATGATTTCATGAGATCGACCATTGATTCAAATCAGGAGTAAGCAGGACATTGTAACTCAAACTTGATAGAGAGACCATCCCTCTTAATAGACCGTCTGTGTCAGGAGACCAATTGTAAAACTCTTAGTTGTAATTGTTGTCATGCTAACTGAACCCGATTAAGAGACCACAACTTAACCTGTATTAAGAGACCACAACTTAAACTGTATTAAGAGACAACAACTTTACCTGTATTAAGAGACACCAACTTAACCTGTATTAAGAGACCACAACGTAACCTGTATTAAGAGACCTCATCTTAACCTGTATTAAGAGGCCACAACTTAACCTGTAATAAGAGACAACAACTTACCCTGTATTAAGAGACAAAAACTTAACCTGTATTAAGAGACAACAACTTAACCTGTATTCATAAACCACATTAGCTGAACCTTAAGACCACATGCAATAACTTTTTAATTCGTTCATCCCTAAAGTTTCATAATGAACTAGTCCAACATTTGAATTGGAAGAGTTCAAATGTGTCTTCAGGGGTGAAAGAGTTAATACAGGGCCGTTTTCGTGTAAACAGTCAAACCGGTCGGACCACGTTGTTTGTTTATAAAATAAAGTCGGACCTAGTTATCTGATGCTGCTTTCAGGCGAGCCTTGACAAAGCCTTGCAAGGCCTGCATAAACATTTGCAGGTCCGCCAGGACTTATACCCGAAATTGTTACATTTATAAATGGTCAAACCGGTTGTTCCACATAAACGAACAGGCCCCTAGTGTGACCTGAATATTACTGGGTATTGGGACTGCATATATTTTTCTACGTTTGATATTTAATTGATAATTTGTTGATATTTGTTAGTTACTTTTTAGTTACATGTTCAGCTTGCGATATTTCTTGTGGTAGATAAAGATACAAGAATTAGTGGGAAGTAGATTGTGGGAATGCCATGGTCCGGCTTGAAAATGTAGATTTGATTTCTATGAAGAATAACTGTTAGTTTTGAAACTAAACACTTGAGAAACCATATTGTTTCAATGTTGTACCAAATATTAAAACATTAATGGTTAAATATGATTGTGTTGCGTTCTCATTATTTAGACTGGCTCTCCAGTCCCCACTTTGGTAGTCAGTACACAGAGTAAAGACCTTAGACAAAGTATGGTCGGGGCCATCCTCGATACTCCAGGGGTTACGTTCACTTTCGCTCTCTGCACCCCTGGAATATGTCATAGCAAACTGGAAGGCTCAGTGTGAACTACCTTCTGGACGAGACGAGAAGACTAGTTTGGCCCTTTCATGCACATCAAAAGAATCTGGCATTCGCGTAACTGTAAAATTGACTGGCTTTGAAGTCAGTTGTCCTCTTCTCCAACCTTTAAAGGACAGGTATATTTACTCGAGACCATCAAATAGCTAGCTGGGTGCCTTCAAATTAAGTTTTGAATATCCCAGGGGTGCAGGGAGCGAAAGTGAGCGTAAGGAGGAAGCGCCGGGGGCATACAATGTTGTACTCTGTCACATACAAACAACTAACTCCTTTTAGGTCGATGTTTATTTGACGCTACAGTAATTGAACTTGGGTACAAAATTGAAGATATAAAGCTATCCAATTCCACACACTCGGTCCACAAAATCATAATTGAAAACATGGCATTGGTATGGTCCTTTTGATTGAGAACATATAAATTACGAACTATAACATTAAAGAATAACTATAAGAAAGTCGATTATTGACAGAGTTCAAAATAGATAAATATGACCTGACAGCACATTCCAGGAAATAGCCACTGTTTATGTGATGATTTGTCTTCGACACACGCTTGGCCAGGGGCCGGAGTCGTTTAGGAACTACATGTGAAGTTAAGAAGATTCGAAACATACAGAATACTTTTTCAAAATGAGAAAAGTAGATATTGATATCAAAAGAAAAAACAGAAAAGAAATATTTTTGAACGCCCCAAGATAAAGTGTAACCATAGGAGGGCAGTACGGCTACTTAAAGGACGTGTTCCCGTATGTGTGCTATATGTAGCTGCGACAGCCTATCCGCATCTAAGGAACTGACCGACCTTAGGGCGTGACCTTGATGGGCAAGGTCATTTTGAACCGTGAAGTGTAGTCTATAAACCCATCAACCAACCAACCAACCAACCAACCATAACGTGTACCAAATCTTCCTTAAACAAAATACAAAGGAGAAAACCCTCGATTCGCAAGAGTCCCCCACTAGCTGTCTCGCACGGTAACACGAAGAGGGGTGCAGTAGGTTTATTTTCGCTTTCTCCAACTCCGTCAAAGTGGAAGAAAGAGAAAGACATTCATTACAAGAACATGAAGTTGGGCTACATCAC